AGATTTACAAAAATACATAACGGAACGCAGTCCGTATTTTCTATCCTAGTCGGGCCCCACTAGTTGCCATTTTCAAACGACCTGTTTTGAAAACAATCTTTCATTCACCCGTTCACTATTTGTGAACGGCCCATGCAATTTTACGAAATACAGAATTAAGCATGCAAAACTAGTAACTAACTTAGGTCGTTAATCCAATTAACGCGCCTAATTAAAACTAGTCAAAGTGGTTTAATCCATTATTTCTAAACGCAAAATGCTAACGAATTTAATTAAGCTCCCACTAAATTCCGCATCCGGACTTAATTAATCCGATCAATTAAGTCGGCATAACCCGTAATTTGTCAAAATTTTGCAAAATCAAAATCGAGATTTTTAGCCTCGTTAAAATAATTAATTTAAATCATTAATACGAAAAATCGCAAAAACATAGCTCAACGTTAAGCAAAATCAAGGCATCATCCAATAATGCTTGGCGCACCATGGCTGCTAGGCAGCCCATGGCCCCTGCGCCATGGTGCGTGTTGCTGGAAGCTAGCAGCTGTGCCTAGCACAGCCTGCCTAGCTTGCTAGCACCAGCAACATGCTACGCATGCTATGCACGCTAGCAGCTTGCTGGCACGAGCATCAGGGCTGGCTGGCTGGGGCTTGCTGCCTTGCTGCCCAGCAGCCGCACAAGCATACCAGCAGCCTAAGGCCCCTTATGCGCCAGCACACGCACCTCACAGCACACCTTTCCACGCCACACAGCCACGCATCCCAGCCACATACACAGCGCATAGCAGCATCACGCCTCGCCCTTGTGCACACCACAGGCAGCCACATGTGGGCTGCTAGGCAGCCCGGCTAGCCTTGGTGGCACATGGGTGTGTGGCCTTGATTTGTGTGCTACGACTCAGGATTTCAATCCCGATTTTCGTGTGACAATAATCAATTCTAAATTAGATTTTAGAATTAATTTTGAGGGAAAAATAAAATAAAACAAATATTAAGTCTAACTTAAACAAATTTTATTTTAATTGGTGCACAAGCCTAAATTTATCCAAAATTTCAATTTTGAACAAATTTAAGTCAAACTTTATGCTTAAAATAAAATGAGCTATGTCCAACATTAATCTTGCCAATATGCAAATTAATTATGGATTTGACTAAAGGGAGTTGGAAAAATAAATTAATCATCCAATGATAAAATTTTCCAACTTGCATACTTGTGTAAAATACCAAGATTACATCTTCCAATATGAAGATTAATCAAATTTTACCCACAAGTAATTGAACTTTTAATGGATTTTAATCAACTAAAATATGAAAAATCCAAACTTTGTTCAATCATGGAATTTAGGGTTAGGGTTCCAATCATTTAAACATTTTAAAGATTAGAACTTTAACATCACTTGGGAACTTAAAATACAAAATCACAACAAGTTTTCACACCTTATTGCAATTTATTTGCAAAATTGTGAAAAACTAGTTTATGTGATTACTTGGTATATCAACTTAAGCACTAATAAACACTCCATTATTATGCTCAAGGATATTTTAAAACCAGTAGATTAGTGATGCAAATGTGCATTTAATCTAACCTTGTAATGCTTGCATTAAATCAAGGCTTAAAAAGAATTAAAACTTTTGTTAAAAACGAAAAACCCCAGAAAAAATGGGTTTCTGGTTCGAATTTGGCTTCTGGACAACCCTAAAAGGACTGAAACAGTTCCAGAATGTCGATTCCACCCAAAATTCACTATTTTTGAGCCAAAATCTGGGTTCGACAGCCAAGTCGATAATAAAATCGAGTTTTTAAAATAATTAAAGAACGAGCATCTAATCTAATTAGATGAACATGAACCAGAAAATTAAATTCTTTTAAAACACCTTAATTAAACAATAATTGCAAAAATTAAAAGGAGCGTGGCTCCGATACCGCTGTAGGGTTTCGTAGTGACCCGGCACTACGCGGAAGGAAACCCACCAAGACCCGCCCCTTAATTAAAGCAATTAAACAAGCATAACAAACTTAATCAAACAAGATTTAGGACAAGAATTATACCTTTGACGCGTGCTTCGCTCCCAAGGAGCTCTTACTTCAAAATCTCGAAAAGACGAGATCTCCGACGGTTCGTACCCACGACCCAACCCGAGCGTCCTAAGTCTTGAAGGTTAGTCAAGACCCGGACAAAATAACTATGAGTTTTACGAATCAAAGGTTTACTCTTTCTTAGAGTTGCCTTTTTAATTCCACTCAAGGTTGTTCCATTTCCCAATACCAAGCTTGGTATTTATAGGGAAATGAGCCCTTGCATTTCATTCCCCAACCAATGTGGGAGAATGATTTATTTGCCAATTAATTTATTTCTAAAATAAATCATTAAACAAATACAATCACAATACGACAAGTGGCGCATTTATAGAGCAAGCCAAGTGAGGACCAAGGCTTGGGGGGGACCATTGCCTTGATCCCCAAGGCCATGAATTGGTCCCCACACACCATGCCCAAAACCGGGTCAAGGTGGGCTAGCTGGCTGCCAGCTAGCGTGCCAGCTGGGGCTGCCAGCTAGCACTGCCTTGCTGCCTAGCACCCAGCCAGCCAGCCAGTGCGGGCTGTGGCTGGGCTGGTGCTGGTGCTTGTGTGCTGGCGCTGGGCGCTGCTAGCACCTAGTGCTAGCACTGGCCCCAGCAGCCCCACGCACATTCCTCGCGCGCCATTGCTAGCACAGCCAGCATGCGTGCTGCTAGCGAGCCACGCATGCTGGCCGCACTGACCATCGCACTATGCGCACTGCCACACGCATCACCCCACGCATCTCGCACTGGCCTCGCACCATTGCTGCCATTGCTGCGATGCCTTCTTCGCATATGCACACGCACACAAGGCCTGCTTAGGCGCTGTGCTTATGCGAGGGTCCTGCGATGGTGCCTAGCACCCAGGCACGCATGCTGCGATGCAGTGCCATGCGAAGGCACGCATATGCGCAGGCATGCTAGCTACGATGATGCGATGGGCTCAGCCACAAGCACACACGCACTGGCCTAGCCATGCGATGGGCTGTGCTTGTGTTGCGATGGTGTGCTGGGGCGCTATGGTGCGTATAGCACTTGCCATGGCCTGCGATGATGCGATAGTGCCTAGGCCCTATGCACTCACGCTGCTGTGCCACGCGAAGGCACGCACACACACGCAGGTGGTGCTGCGATTGGCAGCCAAGTGCGCCTAGCACTCATGGCGCGCCTATCACGCATGGTGCGCCTAGCACACCATGGTGCGTTTAGGCTTGCGATGAGCTAGCCTAGCCTAGCTACGGCTACGCTCATACTTGTCGCTTGTGATTTTGCGACGCTCGGTCTCGACGCCCTAGGCTCGATATCCGACGTCTGAATTCGTAAAACTCTGTCGACTCATTAAATCCTTTCGGATTAATTCGACGTCTCGGATCGGAGATTCGATTGGGTTCGACCCGAAGGGTTCAGTTAAGATTAAGCTGTAATATCAATTATATCTTGATATCACTGATCGGAAGCGACCTCCACCTAGGCATTCCGATCACTTGACCTGACTGAAGAATTACCTCTGTAATAATTCTGAACCCTCTACCGGAATAATACACTTGCTGGAAGGACACCATTCCTTTCAGTTTCCTCGAGTCCTCCTCCTTAGCCAGTTCGATTCTTTTACAATCGATTATTGAACACTATTAGTTATAATTGAAGCTGATGATGCTAGGTAAGATGTTTCTCTTTGTAATCATCAAAAATCAATTTAGAAGTTTTTTCAGTTTGAATGTTGTAAATGATGATTGTTTAAGTTGATTTAACTTTTTCTTTTTTCAAATTTATGTAGTTTTGAGTTGATTTAAGTTTCTGGGTAATGGTTTTTTGGATAGTTTGTGCTGAATTTTTGCGGATTCAAATTTGAAGTTTTCGATTTTATGCTAATTCTAATATCGATTTTCGTTTTAATCCTCAAACATTTTAGCCCTTTAATCGTTTTCATGTTTAGTTTTGTTTTTAATTTTCAATTATATTAGATCTAATTTTTTTGATTTTCATTTGAAAATTAATCTAAAGTTTCTGTTTGGTGCGATTTGTTATGATTTTGTGCGTTGATGGTGTGGTTGTGGGTGTTTGGTGTGGTTGCTCTGATTTTGTGCGCCGATGGTGGAAGGCTGGAAGCGTTGCTGTAATGGTGGCAGGTTAGTTCTATATCTTCATTTTTTAAATTTATTTTGTTTAATTGGATGGTTAGAAGTTTAGAAGATATATGAGTGACAAAATATTGGTAAGGCATTGTGTCAATAGATTTTGATTCATGGGCAGTAATCATATGTTATTATGTTCATTGTTTTTTTTTGAGTTGGATGCTCAATAATATCAGAATTTGCTACATGTCTGTTGTTACACACTCAAATTTAAAATATTAACTCATCTGCAAAGTTGCTTTAGTTTTTAAGTACTTTTCTTTTTCAAATGGCCTATGTTCTTATGCAATTTCGTGAAGTTTCTTGAGTAGTATTGTTGATTACGGTAAGCCATTTACATATCATATTTGTTGGGTTAATTAGAGGTTTCTTTCTCTTTTGGGTGTGGATGCATTTTGCTTCTGTTCTAACCCTTCAAATATTATTGAGGTCTATGTCTCGTTGTTTCTAATCTTAGCTTATAACTTTTTGAGCTTAATTATAATCATTGGTCTGTACTTGAAGGCATTCTGATTTGCGCTACTTTTCATTATAGGAGAGGAAATGGTGTTCGTAGTTGTATAAGCCGTGCTGGAGGAACCACGCATGGGCTTTAACAGTGAAGGTATTCTTCTTCTTAAATCAAATTTTACTAAAAAATTTTGAACTTGGTTGTACATTTCTTGTCTTATGAAGGGTTCTATTTGTCAGTGAAGGTTTCTATGCATATTATTGTGTTTAGATTGATAAATCATATAGAGCATCATATTTGCCTTATTGTTTCTAGTCTTTATATATGAACCTTGATATGTGTCAGAGGGTTGAATTTAGGGTATAAAAAGGCTATTTTTTCGATATGTAGCATTAATTCTGGCTCTTATTTTTTGGTAATCCATGCTAGTTTTGAAATAGGTGTACTTGCTGAAATCATACTTTAGAGGATCTCAAAGCCAATCTTTTTTGTTTGGAAGTGTATTTTGGACTTTCTTTTTTAGTGTACTATACTTTGCTACATCAGCTCATACTTATTTTAGTGTATGCAAATGTTCTTCTTCTGAAATTACAGGGAATCAAATTTTGGACTTATGATGACATTATCTCATAACAAGAAAGCGCCAAAGTGCCTGTTGGTTGAAATTGAAGAAGTCCGTGTTGTCAAGAGTGTTGGTTGGAGAAAGCAAGGTGTTCTCTGTTTAATTGAATGCACAAAATCACCTGATGGAAATGTTAGTCTATAAACATGTTTCCTTGTGATATTCATTATGCGTATATGCATAACTGATTCTATTAGAGAGCGTCATTTACTTTGCCTTTTGCAGGGTCTGGTTAATGGTCTGCTAAACTCAAATGATCAATGCCGTATAGAGTTACTCTTGAACTATCTTGAAGATGGAGATTTACGCCAATGGAGATTGCCTGACGTTCTGGCTTTCAATATTGGGATTTCAGAATGGAGGTCAAAGCTGAACTGCATCATCAATCCTCACATGTATGACCAGGTGAGTAGGGAAATAATCTAGATTTGAAATTTGAAGTCTAATCTTTGATCATGGGGTTTCTTTTAGTCTTTTTTATGAAATTGTCTTCGAGGAAAAAGATGAATTAGTTGCGCCTGTCTGCCCATGTAGTCGTTATGGTGTATTTGCTTCTGTCAAAATTGGTTAAGGCAACACATTAGTCATATTTATCAGCACTATATGGACCTAGCTTATTGCTCCTCCAGTCCTCCTTGTATAGTTATTCAAATTGCTACTTGAAGGACACCCTATGTCACATTCTACATGTAAAATCATTGACTTCTTGACAAGAAATGCATAGGCATCTTTATGTAATGGAAGTAACAGAATTTGTTTGGTGGCATAAGCTCTAGTGAGATGGTCTGGATTTTGTCTTTGCATAGTGTACCTGCCTATACTTTAGTGACCTCCTATGCTTACGGGAAGATTTGTTTTGATAGCTTTGGCTTCATGGGAATAAACCAGCCTACTATGTTCTGCTATGTGCTAGTTGCAAATTAGCTATGTGCAACTTGGAAAGAATAAGGGGAGAAAGTCTCTTTGTATTTGGGTGTGCTTGGCCATTTTCTGGTTTTGCTTGTTTGGATAAGAATGATAGATTTCCTTTGAATATACTTCTTATATGCTATTAGCAAGGCCTTTTGGAATAGATTGATAAAATCATATCTGTGGCATTTTTATCGAGGTCAATCTTTGGTGATCTTCCTAATAAACACTTAAATGCACTTCTTTTTCTTGTAAATATTAATAAAGTCATTCTTTGCCTAAAGGTATCTTTTCTGTAAGTTCTTGCATTTTATATTACATCAAGCTTGTTATTTGTAAGGCTTCCAAAATAGCATTGATTACCTTAATAAGTGAATGTACTAATGAGTGGCATTATTGTGCTTGGTGACATTATATGAATTTGATCATGTGTGTGTGCGTGTGTGTGTTTATTTCCCTTTTTTTAAAAAATTCCTTAATTACCATCTGAATGCAGCTATTGGAGATGAATGTAAAGGAGCTGCTAACCAAGGGAAACTCTGAAATTTCAGCTCAAAAGGATGCTGCAAAAGTATTTCTAAAAAAGGCTTTTAAACTTCGGCTAGGTCGAGGATTCTATGGGGACTGCCTGGTAAGTTTTGGACAGATCGCATGCTTTTAAATCTGTGTTATCTAAAAAAAAAAAAGAAAAAAAGAAGAAAGTTGTGATCGTAAAAAAAATTTCAACGTATTCATCATAAGATATAGTCATTGTTTCAAGGCCAAAGCATCCCACACCCCTCTTTTTTTTTTTTTGGTTTATGTCTCCTTATAAATTTCATTATTTATGTGAATTTATCAGGGAGTTAGAGCTGATACCAATCCAAACCTCAGTGATGAAATTGGGAAAGAACTTAGTTTAAGGAGTGCTGCAGCTGGCTTAAGGTAACTTATCCAAAACTTGTAAAACTGGCAACCTATAATAGATGTTTACATTATAGCATGGGCATGAGCCAATGAGGGGCAAAGGTGTATGCTATAATGCTATGCACAGGCCAAGTTTTGAAAAGGGTACGACACGGCTTGACCCGTAGGCCTTCATCAAAATTGTATTTCTCAATTACTATTTAGTTTGTTATATACTTAAAAGTAAAAAAATTTAATTACAACAATCAAAATTTACAATAGCATAGTAAATTAGTAAGTTAGAATTTAGCATTAAAAAAATTACAATATTCAAAATAATCCATAAGAGGTTTTGTTCTAATTTCTTGTAGAAAGTTCTAGAAAATATTCTAAAATGTGTTCTAGCCAAAGCCACAAATTTCTGACTTTTTTACGCAGTATTAATTTTTTTGTCAAACACACAAATAGTTCATGGGCCGGCCTGTAACCATTTCTAGTTTCTTTTTGTGCGTAATATGAGGATATTTGATATGAATCATTAACTTTCATAATGAGCAGTGCCAGCCTTTGCTTGGTACTGGCTGTGAGATTTGAGCAAGAAAACTTAATTTCATATTTCAACTTCATTTAACTGGCATTTTGGGGATAAGAATTGACTGTTCTGATTAGAATACTCCTGTGTAAGATGTGTTTGATTGCGAGGGTTGTTCTCTGTTTTTGAGGGTTTGCTACAGAGGAGATTACTTGTAAGCAGCCTGAGAAGGCAGAAAAAAAGAAGGTTAAGAGTGATTAAGAGTCATATAACAGTAGACAAACTACTCTTAAAGTCTTATACGACTTTGATTGAAGAGATGAAAGATAAGCACATCTCTCTATCTATAACGACTATAATGGTGCATTATTTTTGTCTAAACTTATTAGTCCTAATGATCTTCGTGATGAAACCTGTGTAGCAATAGCTAATAACAAATGGAGGAGGTTAGGGAATTTGAACAATGTGTTAGATATCTTTTGAGTTAGAATAGAAGATTGGTTTTGACATTAATCTCAATTTTTATTGTTTTTTACTTAATGATGGATCCATAGTAGCACATTGTTTGGATAGTTAGGCAAGATTCTTAGGATTACATGGATATTGGTCTTTTTGTTTACCTCTGAATGATTGGTTTTGTGTTGAATATTTCTATTGGTTGTTTAATCCCTTATTTTGATTATGCTTGTGAATGTAACAGCACCAGGCCTAGCAAAACAGCAGCAACAGCAAGTAGCACTAGGCAGGCACAGCACCAGACAACAGCTAACAGCCAGCAGATAGCCAACATGCTTTGCAAAACCAGGCCAGCAACCAAACAACAGCATCACAGCAGTTGAAAGAGCAGGAAACAGAACATCAGCTACAGAGCCAACAGCTAACAGGGCAGACAACAAAACAACAGCAGCAAAAGTCATAACAACAGCAAGCGAAAGCAGAACAACAGTAGCAGTGTAGAAGCAGGACAGCAGTAGCAGTGCATATAGAAGACACATAGCAGCCAAAACACCTTGCAACACACTGCATACAACAGAATAGGCAGGCAGAAGCAGAGACAAGCTAGCAGCATGCAGCACAGAAACCAGCAGCCTGAACTAGCACACACCAGCCAGAGCCAAAGAGGCCAGAAACAGAAAGCAGTAGCCAGCAATATTAATTGTAATATTACAGCCTTTTTTAATGAAAATATGTAACTTTATATATATGTTAGTGTTTCTATATCAATTTAAGTGAAAAAAATGCAATTTTTTTTTTTATTTAATTTTTGGGGCATTTTTGGCACCGGTTTTGAAACAGAACCGGTGCTAAAAGGTTTTTATTAATTTTTTTGGGCCATTTTTCGCATCGGTTCACAGCAAGAACCGGTGCGAAATCTAAGTTTTCGCACCGGTATTGAACAGGTGCGAAATCTTTTGGTTTTTGGCATCCCTCAAATAAGGACCGATTCAAAACCAGTGCTAAATGGGGGTTTTGAACCGGTGTCCATTTGTATTTTTCGCCTAGTGAAAGGATTTTACGAGGAAACCTTCCAGAGCCCAACTGGAAGTAAAACTTCGACCCTCCAAGGGATTTCAAAACCAAACACTTCACTATAATAGGGCAACACTCCTAGTTACAACCTATTACAATCATAGACCTTTGTCACAAGTTTCTGACTGATGAACTTGCTACTCGATTGGACCCTATCCTAGCCAACCTAAGTCCCGGACTTAGATTTCTCACAGCACTTCCAAAGTACTAAACACTCGGCTTCATTCTCAAAGCCTGCCACACTGTATGCATAAGCTAATCACTCACCTAATGCCCAGAACAATACAAACTCTTAACTCTAATATGTGATTGGAAAGCTACACATAAAATCCGAAACTAATATGACAAAGCTATGAACTTGGCAAACTTACTCTTTAAGCATTCTTCAGATTTTCACGTATAAACTCATGAGTTGTATCAATAATGAACGCTCCTTTATATACAAGAACTCTTGTATGTAAAGTAGGGTGATAGAAAATACAAAACTGCCGTTTTATAAAACCCATTGTGAAATAAGTCTTTTGAAGAAAATCTTTTGGAAAACTTAAGACAAATATAATTTGGAAAAGATTATCATTTTGTAAAATCAGATTTTATTAGATAAAACCTCTCAAAGATCTTTTCCATAAATTAGAACTTATCTTTTTAAAACTTTTTATATTATTAAGCTTGCCAAGCTTTGCCACGCTTCTAATAGATTTCATGCATAATTAACCAAACATATTTACAACAAAAACCTCAATAATAAGACTTTAACTCTATTGTCGAATTGCCTCCTTAAGCTTCGCATTGTATGAATACTTGGGCTCTACACAGACCAGGACCAAGTTCCTGCTGTCTACAACTCTCCAGCTCCTTGCTGGGACTCGCAGTCCAAGTTCTTGTGGAACTTTCTGTCTACAACGCAGTTCAAGCTAGTCTTCTCAACTTGCTATCAAGCTCCTGTTAGGAAGCTTCTCTTTGTGTTCCTGTTAGGGATCACTTTTAGTTCTAATGAGGAACTTTTCTTCTATTCTTTTTGTCTTTATTTTGTTTCTCCTTGGATCTTCATAGATAGGTTACTCTTCCACTTCTAAAGTCAACTTCACCTGTTCTAATTAATACTTAGAGGAATCGCATTAGTTGAAGTTTAGATATCCATCATCATCAAACTTCTTAAGGTTCAACATCAAAGAAAATAAAGAAAAATTCTCGTTGGTAACATCTAGCTTTCGATTTTTCTCTTTGGTGAATTGAGAAAAAAGTTATTATCATTAATAATCTTGAATTATTGTTTAAAAAAAAGAGTAACTATTTTAATCAAAAACATTAACCATGGTTAGTTTTTTTTTTATTTTTTACATTTAAGCTAGGTTTTTTTTAGGGAAATGTAACATAATAGAAATAATTATTTTCTAAAGAAAGTCAACCTTGCTTGGCTAGCTACCCCTCCCCTCGCCAGCCAACCCAGCCCCCTTCCCCCCGCTAGTGCCTAGCCTGTCCCCAGCTGGCGACCTACCTCCTCTCCTTTTCCCATTCTAATCTAATTCCAGAAACAATTGGAAAAAACTTTCTCAAAAAATAAAAAAATTACAAACAATTCAAAAAATTTCATTTTGATTTTGGAAAATTTCTAGGGCTTGTAATCAAGTCTCATTGATTTGAGATATGGGGATGCGTTGTGCAATTAGTTTGAAATCTCGTCTTCGCTAGGGTAATGGTAGAATCAGGGTTTGAACCCTAAAAGGAGTGTCGGGGTAGGGGGTCAGGAAACGGGGGAAGGGGAGGAACAATGGCCAATCTAGCAAAATCATCAATAAGGGGGTGGGGTTGCAGGTGGTGGGGGGAGCTGGGGCGTCGGTGGGGAATGAGGTTGGTTGCTAGCATAGGAAGCGTTGGCTTGTTGTTCGGGGAGGGGTGATTTAAAAAAATATAATTCTAAAATTTAAACTACTTCTAAAATGATTTATTGGTTAAAAACACAAAAAATAACCTTATTATAGTTAAAGATTTATTAAAAAAAAAAAAGTATCACTAATGTCATGAGTAACTTAATAATAGTAATACAAGAGTTTCGTAATAATAATACTTATAATAATAATACAAGATTATCAAAAATAATTAGTTTTTTTTTTCCAAAATTTATCAAAGAAATTTGTTTTAAAAAAAGAGTATTATCAAAAAGAGAATTTTCCAAAAAAAAAATAAAATAAAATCACGGCTTATTAATTTTGGTCAGTGAGATCGATATTCCTTTAAGTGCTTAGTGTTTCTGTTTTACTTCTACTACATGCATTTCATGAAAAGAACAAATCTCTTAACTTCTTTCCTAAATACTTATGGACTATCTGTTCAAAGTCCAATCGAAAATTCAAAAATTACACTCAGCCATGAAGTATTTATAATAAAAAAAAAAAAAAAAAAAAAAAAATTTGATATAAGCCATGAAGTTACATTGTCACCAAAGTTGTTATTATCCATGCATTGCATAGCAACAAAGTCTCAAAAGAAAAAATAAATAAAAAAAATAGCATATCATCATCTCTCCGCTCCCATCCTTTATGTTGCTCTATCCGGCTATTAATGGTATTCAATATAACTGTTAAACTAATAATATTTTTGTTTTTGTACAAATACTCGTTATAAAATGACACTTTGAAATTATATACTGAAATAAATCTAACAATATATCATATATACATGCATTGGCGGATCCAGGATTTTTCGGGTGCTGGGTCACTACCGTATACTAATCAATAATTAATATATTCAAAAAGCTAATACTTTAAAAAAAAAAAATACATTCCAAAAGTATTATATTTCTATATTACAATCAAATAAAAAAATAATTACAATTGCTCCTACGAGTTTTCATGTTTGGATATTGATCTATAATATCATTCATGTCAACATTCAAAAACATATCTCTCTCTATATAAGTAGCCAAGCAATCATTCAACATTTGATGTCCCATGCTATTACGCAATTTATCATTCACTTGCGTCATTCTAGAAAATATTCTTTCTACACTTGTCGTTGCGACGGGAAGAGTTAGAACCAACTTCAAAAGCAAGTACACTCATTCATGGGTTAAGCAAACCACTATTGCTTCAAAAATCCAAGTTATATACACGCATTACATATAAACTTGCTACCAAATTATAGCTAAAACACTAATAGTAAACTTAGCACTAAAAATATACACTATATCCCATTCTAATCAATATATCCGAATATCCCAATCCCATTCTAATATCAATTTCAAAAAATCAGAAATGTGATTATCTAAAATTATCAATTCCAAAAAAAAAAAAATTATAAAAAAAAAAAAAAATCAAAAACACTAAGTCCCTACTCCCCTAACTTGGTATATTAAATTACAAATCATCAATTTCCCTAAACCATCATAAATTTATAATATCAATTTCAAAGAAAAAAAAAAAAAAAGAAATCAGAAAATCACTATTATCAATTCCTAACAAAATCAAAAACCCTAACTCCCTAATTTGATAAGTCAAATTACAAATCATCAATTTCAAGCAACATCCACACTAATTTGATAGATTAAATAGCATAAAAAACTAATTTTAGCACAAAATCAACCCAACAACTCATGTCTAATAAGAAATTTAAAACTTGAAAATCAAAATTTAATTATGAAAACATGGAATTAATAACTTGGAGTGCGGCTGTGCGGTGGCTGGTGCGGATAGGGACAAAGTTCGTGCGGTGGCTGGTGGATGGAAGGTGCGGCACGCCGGCGACAGCGATGGCGGATTTCCCGTTAAGCTTGGTTTTGATTTTTGAAAGAATCGAAGAGAGAGAAACGTTTTATTTTTATGTTTTGCTTATGCTGTTCTGTTTTTTTTTTTCCCGTGAGTGAAGCATCATTTTGTTTTTTTTAATTTATTTATTATTATTTTTTCGCTAGGTCACGTGACCCACCACGACCAAAGGTGGGTCTGCTAATGTATACATACATATTACTCCCTCTGTCCCTTATTTTTTGCCCCATAGCAAATATATGGGTCAAACTTTTAAAACTTTGACCATGAATTCTCGATAATTTATAAGTCATAATATATTCATGCGTGAACTTGTTAGAATCGTCTCATAGTATATTTTATTAACATCAAGTTTTTTAAATTTTTACACTTATAAATATGGAGATATAATCGTGAATACACGTCTTGGAGACCGTGAAAAGTCAAATGGGGTAAAAAAAATAAGGGATGGAGGGAGTATTATTTTCTATACTATGGAGTACTATGTTAAATTTATACAGTACTAAATTAAAGACTACATTGATATAATGCTTTTTAATGTAAGCTTCATATAGTACAAGCATTTAGGCAAAAAAAAATTAAATTTTTCTAGTATTAAAAAAATAAAAAATTTATTAAAAGACCTAATACTTTGATATAGTTCGAAAAAAATGAAAACTATTATTAATACCTGATCTAGAATATTATTATACTAGATTAGTCTCGTGCGATGCACGATTTGATCATATGAAATTTTCTAAATTTATTTATTTATTTATACTAAAATTAAAAATAAAAAAATATTCCCAAAACAAATAAAATATCAAATATTAAAAAAAAAATAAAGCTCATAGAAAAATTGAATGATGAAAGAGTATCCAAGGAAGACAAATTAAATTATTATTGTTAATGAGAATAGACCAAAATTTTAATAAAATAAAATAAAAATCACAAAACGATGGCATCATATATAGTTTTGGAAGGAAAATTTTTAATGACAACATGACATGTGTCTAATTTTAAAATAGAATGATGTCAGCGGTTGCTACTTTAGTATTAGTTATAGAAGATTAGTAACTCATTAATTGGTTGTTGGTGTATGTAGTGGTGATTGGGCTGAATTTGGAAGGGAGGACCGTGTATTTGATCCCCCGCACTAATAATTTAGAGGAAACTAAAACCTAACCACCAAAACTGAACCCCAAATCTGAATTAGCCCAAGCCTAAAGAGATTAGTAACTCGATGAATTAATTAATTAAATGTAACCCCACTACTGTCACTATCTATTGGACTACTTCTAGGAAAATTCCAATTCAATTGTAAACCAATCCGGAGCAATAACTATTCAATAATCAGCCTTGACTTAACCAAAATTTGATTCATTTAGTCGCTTACCCTTTGTTTACATCTCCAAAAATAAATGAAAAATAAATAATAGTACCAATGTTTTTTATTTTGTTAGAAAATAAATATTAAAAATTGTTGTTCCTAACGAAAATTTATAAAAATAGTGTCTAAGTTGATCTAGAAGGTGTGTTTGACCCGTTTTCCTAAGTCAAGTAAACAGAATAAATAAAACTCTTTTTTTTTTTTTTTTTTTTTTTTTTGAGGAACGAATAAATAAAACCTTATTATACGTTTAAAATAGTAATCCAAGAAGCTAAGCTATGTGATCAACCCAATTGTCCTTAAAAAAAAAAAAAAAAAAAAAAAAAAAAACACAAACAAACAAACAAAAAATTGTGAAAATGGCTGAAAAACTAGTCCGAGTTTCGCTAATCAACCTAATCTTTATGATCAGTATCTTAATGATGATTTCCGAATCTAATTCCGCTCCAAACTTATTGGCACAGTCATGCTCAAACACCACTATGTTCGCCAACAATAGCCAATTTGGAGCCAATCTCGATACCCTTTTCCGTTTGCTTACCTCTAACGCCACCAACCCGACCGGCTTCCATCAAGCCATTTCTGGCGGTAGAAACACCACAAACGAAGCTGTATATGGCCAATTCCTTTGTCGCGGGGATCTGACTATAAGCTCATGCCAAGACTGTGTTACCACGGCCACTACCACTGACCTCCCTAAGATATATTGTCCAAACCGAAAAGATGCAATAATATGGTACAACGAGTGTACGGTTAGGTATTCCAACGAATCATTTTTTGGTAGCTTGGATACTACGCCGTCGAGGATTGATTGGAGCTCGCTTAGTATAACCGGCAACGCGACAAGGTTTATGGACCTGGTGAGTAACATGATGAACAACGACATTGGGGTAAGAGCTGCAACCGGAGGTTCACAAAAGAAATTTGCTACGGATTTTGTGAACTATACTAGTTTTCAGACAATATATGGGATGGGGCAGTGTACGCCGGACTTAAGCCCTGGCGATTGTAATACGTGCTTAGTGGCCGCTGCTGGCGGGTTTAGAGAGACTCAAGGTGGAAAAGTATTGCAACCTAGTTGTTTTGTTCGATATGAGGTTTACCCATTTTTTAACATGGTGTCACTACCATCACCATCACCATCACCGTCACTGTCACCACAACCACAACCACCATCGTTACCAACACCGAATTCTTACGTCTCTAGTGGTAAGTCCAATTATTATCTTAATGTCTCCTCGAGCTCGTTATAATTATACTTCAATCTATTAAGTAACAACATATAGATTATAAGGTAATGTCATACAAGTATTGAGCAAACAGATTTTATTTTTTTAAAAAAGATTATTTGATTTAAAATTAGTCTGACCATTAATAGATAAAAAATGTTTATAAGTCCAATTTTTTTTTTTTCTTATATTATTTTTTCTACTCATTTACTAGTAAGTTCCCACAAACAAAAAATGGTACTACCTAGCCACCTAGGAATAGAAAATCAATCTATTTTTTCCTCCTTTGGAAGGGAAGCATCCCAATAAATATCTATGAGAAAAATTAATCAATAAATTAATTTTTTATAAGTTAATTATTGTCTTTATATAGGCTGGCAAACATAAAATGATAGTTAAATTATCATGTCCCAAGTACTACATGAATTAGAACAAGTTCTATTTAGTTGAGGCTTAGCCCAAACCAAAGTCCAGTATGCAGATATTTTGTAAGATAGGCCCAATAAAGCAAGCTGTCATAAGCCCAAAATGCCGATATTATGTTTCTTATATTCAAGTATAGAGCCCATTAACCCTATGCTTCAATATCTAGAATTCTTCTATAGTTTACTGGTGCTACTGTCTATTAATCTTTTTTTTAATTATTTTTTTTGGAAGAAGTCTATTGATCATTTTTTTATTTTTGTTAAATTAAGTGCTTCATTTGTTTCTTTTTAGTTGCTACGCTTCTTTCACCACGTGTTATATACACAATAACATGTTTTTAATGCAGGGAACAAAATTTCAACAAAGGCGATTATTGCCATTGTAGTTCCTATTGTGGCCGTTACAGTGGCATTACTTATTATAGCCATTTGTTGTAGAACCAAATACAAGAAAACAAAGACCTATGACTCTGTTGCTGCTGAAACTGGTAAAAAAAAAAAATTATCTGGACTTCATATAATTATTTCATCAACGATATATATAATTTGCTGGTTAATTTATGATTCTGTATATAATGTTGAAGGTGATGATTTCACTACCGTCGAGTCCTTGCAATATGACTTAGCAACGCTTCAATTAGCAACAAATAATTTTTCGGATGCGATGAAATTGGGTGAAGGTGGATTTGGTGGTGTTTATAAGGTAAGCCAACAATTGTCCTGATTATGTTAGTTTCTTTTAACTACTTCTAGCTGAAAGTTTGTTCTCTCCTTGTACGGAAAGAAACTTGTCATCAAGAATAGGTTTTGTTTGTGATTGGATGCAAAAAATTGCATTACTAAATTAGCTTAAGTGAGAAGAAATAAGGAACACAACTATAATGAACGGTTGTTTTGTACGTGTATCGACTAATTTGAACCAAAACTAAGTTATTTGCAAGCAATACCAAGGCGGCTTGTCCATAAAATAACAATTAACCTAGCTTGGATGTAAAACACGCTATACTTACGTTAATGATGCGAAATATTTTCATGTTTCCGATAGGGTACACTACCAAACGGGCAACAATTAGCAGTGAAGAGGTTGTCAATCAACTCTAGCCAAGGAATACAAGAATTCAAAAATGAGATTTTATTAGTTGCCAAACTTCAGCACAGGAATTTGGTTAGGATTTTGGGATTCTGTTTTGAAGGGCAAGAAAAGTTATTAGTATATGAATATGTGCCTAACAAGAGCCTTGACAAGTTTCTTCACGGTATATTTAGTTTCAAAACCTATATATTCTGTTCAAATTAATTAAAGTTAAACTTTAGGTGATAACATCGATCACCATTCACCAATTGTAATGTACAGATTATGGAAGTCATGGACTAATTGACTGGGGTACGCGCTACAAAATTATCGGAGGCATAGCACGAGGGATGCTATATCTCCATCATGATTCTCAACTAAAAATTATACATCGAGATCTTAAGGCAAGTAATGTGTTGTTGGATGCCGATATGAATGCCAAAATTTCAGACTTTGGCATGGCAAGAATTTTTGTAGTGGATCAAAGCCAAGACAACACAAGCAGGATTGTTGGAACATAGTGAGTACTACTGTATAACTACAAACCTTTAACTTAATTACTAGCTATTGGAATATAAGTTTAAAATAAATAAATAAATTGAATGCATGTTTTTGTCTAGAAGTTTAAAGTTTTTATTTAATTTGTTGTTTATGGTGTAGTGGTTACATGTCCCCTGAGTATGCAATGCACGGTCAATTCTCAAACAAATCAGATGTTTATAGTTTTGGCGTCTTGCTCTTGGAAATTATAAGTGGCAAGAGAAACAGTTCATTTTACGAATCCGGAGAGGCAATGGACCTTTTAAGCTTTGTAAGTACTATATATTACTAGTAATATTTTTCTTGTCTAATAAATAGTTGGCAAAAAACTTGATATGAGTAACATTTTACAAGAATCTATTCAATCTACGCAGGCATGGAAACAATGGAGAGATGGCATGCCTTTGGAATTCGTTGATCCAACGATAAGAGACTCGTGCTCATTGGACGAAGTGATGAGATGCATACATCTTGGGTTGATATGTGTTCAAGAATCACCGGATGATAGACCTTCTATGGCAACAGTAGTCCTTACGTTAGACAGCTACTCGGTCACTCTTCCGGTGCCTGAAGCTCCAGGTTTCATCATAAAGAGTAAAGTTTCCAAGGAGATGAGCAAGTCAGCACATTGGTCTAGGAATGATGTCTCAATCACTGAACTTGAACCTAGATAGATAGTTGAAGAGAGATTTTATAACCTTTCATAGTGTGAAGTTTGTAAACAGCATATTATACCTAATTGATGTTTAATGATGTATGTTGTACTGCAAGTCGTGATTCAATTTTTTTTAAATTGATCATACTTTGACCACAGATAGTATAGTCTGTTTATTTTCCTAATAATAATAATACTTCCTCCATTTCATAATGGACGTGTTCTATTTTTAACTTAATTTTTTTGGAATTAATTGGTTGTGGATTGATCACATGGCTAAGTATGGAGATCTCTACCTTGAATTATGCATTATGACTTATGTTTTCCCAAAAAAAAAAAAAAAAAATTAAATAATGTAAACTAATTATAAATTATTTTGTAATTTAATGTTAGATTCCAAATATTCTTTTTTTCTTATTTTATGTGATTAAATTGACTAACATTATAAAATAAAGAGAGTAATAATAATAATAGTATTACAATAATAGTGATAAGTAACATGGTCATAACCTGTTCCTATTATTTAGAAATGTTGGTAGCCTAGGATCCTTAATTAAAATAATGTAGTTGTTAGCTTGTTGTTTGTGACTTAGTGGTAAGTTATTCTAGCCGTTAGTGGAAGTACATGTCACTAATTTGTAGGAGTTTGGAGTTTGTTAATTTCATTTCCCAATTAAAGCCTTGTATCTTGCTTTTTGAGATATATGAACAATCAGCTTTCTTTGGTTCTCTCTTTAATAATTTTGCTTTGTTAAACATATTTCTTTGATTTGTGTTTTCATCGTATCAGAGCAACCAAGTCAAAACTTAAAAAGTCAAAGGTACTACCAACTACACGAGTGAAACTTAAAAAGAAATAAAAAATAGAAACCAGGTTCGATCCACCTTTCATCCATCAGCAAGGAGCTGAGAAAGGGAAAGTAAGAGAGAGAAAAAAAACCAAAAGAAAAACCCCAAATTGAGAGTTACGAGTGAAACACAAAACCCACAAAATTGAGTGAACAAAATGGCTGAAAATGGCACAAATTCATCCTCTCAGCCTTTAATTCCCACAGTCAAAGGGGAAAATATCATTTATGGAGTCTTAAAATGAAGACCATGTTTAAATCCCAAGAGCTATGGGATTTAGTGGAGAATGGGTATAATGAACCAAACCCGGCACCGGTCGTTCCTAATGCACGGAGAACCCGCAATTAAGAAAGATGTTAAGGCATTGTTTTTTATTCAACTGGCGTTGGATGATAGCATCTTTCCCCGAATTGCAGCAGCCACTAGTGCACATGAAGCATGGGAGACACTCAAGCAAGAGTACTTGGGTGATCAGAGAGAAATTAAGGTACGATTGCAAACTCTACGTGGTGATTCTTCAGATTTATCCATGGGAGACAAGGAGTCTGTTCAAAACTACTTATCTAGAGTAACTGAAATTGTAAGTCAGATGAGATCATATACATATGGTAAAAAATTAGCAATGAAACTATTGTGAGAGTAAGGTGTTGAGGAGTTTGAATGATGAATGGAATAATATTGTTCCTGCAATTGAAGAATCAAAGGATCTATCTAATTTTACCTTTGATGAATAAATGGGCTCTCTTTTAGCACATGAAAGTAGGATGAAAAAGGGCAATGTTAAGACTGAAGAGAAAGCATTTCAGGTTAGGGGTGAGTCTTCCTTTAAGGGGAAGATGGAAAATACTGGAAACCTTGGAAGAGGCAGAGGTGGTTTCCAAGGCCGACGTAGAGGTCGTGATAATGGTAGATGATGGACGGTCGTGATAATGGTCGTGATAATGTTGGTCAAAGCAAAAAGCTGAATAGAGGCAAGCAAACTTCACTGAAAAGGTAGATGATGATAGTAACGAGAGCAAGCTATCCGTGGCTCACTCACCTTCTCCGCTCTCAAAAATGCAACGATGTATGGTTCCTTGGCAGTGGCTACTCTAATCATATTTCCAGGGCAAAGGAATTATTCAAAGATCTTGATGGGTAAAAAAAAGGCGTGGTGAGACTTGGAGATGATAAACAGATGCAATTTGATGGCAAAGGCACAATTTTGCAACTGATTTTGCGGTAGTTGCTGTGCGGTCGCTAATTACAACTACCATAATATTTAGTCGCAAAAAATGTTTTTGCGACTGAAAGACACGGGTAGTTGTTAATTTTACGACTCATGTTATAGTGATTGTAATGCGGTAGCTAAATTGCGACGCTCTTATAATTTTTGCGACTAATTTGTAGTTGCTACTTGCTAGGGTTATTTATTTTGAAAAACTTTTTAATTTAAAATTTGTGACTAATATTCCAACTAAGTCGGTAGTCCCATTGTTTTTAATATTTATTAAAAAAAAAAAAAAAAACCCTTAGTATAATGAAGAGTTGCAATCACTCTTAAAGATACAGTACAGAGACTCTTCTTCCTAAAAAACACACGCAGAAGGCTTAATTTCAGAGAATCAACCCTCGCCGTCGCTCTTCATCTTCCTCCGCTGCGCCACCACGTCTCCTCCCAGGTAAGTTTAAATGCCTGACGTCCCTTCCACCCTTCGATTATTGAAATTTGCCAACTACGAATTTTAGGGTTATCATTGATTTTTTTTGTCCAATTATTGATTTTAATTTGGTTTCCATGTTCAAATTGAAGTCAATTAATTAAAAATCATTCAAAATTGATTGAGTATGCAAAAAGCCCTTATTATTTTCAATGTAAAAATCATAATTCTGGTTATTTCGACCCTTTTTTTTTCTCTATTAGTTGTTAAATATATATTTTCTGAAGAAGGGGGGTTGGTTGGTTAGAGTGTAGTTGCTGGAATGATGTGGTGTTAGTTTATTGAATTCTCGTTTTGCTCTAAATTCTTGTTTTGCTCTGAATTCCTGTTCATTAGAGGGTATTGAGGTTCCCTAGTTCTAATTGAATTCTTGTTTTGATCTGATTTTATTCTGATTTTGAGCCTAATTTGCTGCTGGTTAGTTGTCATGACAATGGTTGTGGGTGGTTGCTGGAATGATGTGGTGTTAGTTAATTGAGTTGTGGGGCAGCAATTTCTTTCTAATTACAGTTAGCCTGGCATCTGAATAAGTATAGAAGATAGTTCGTAAGTCTTGTCAAATTATTAGTTATTGTACTTTCTGGTAAGTTGATTGTACTTTTCAGTATTTAGACTCGAATTATTTTGTTGGCAAGTATGTTAACAAATATGATAATGTTTCCAACCATTTAAAACTCTACAAGAAAGTTATTACAATTCTGCTACCGCTTTGTTAATTGAGCTATTCTATTGTGAACTAAATGATGTTCTCCCTCTCTTTATTTTCTGTCTATTTCAGTGTGAGTGTGTGTACTTGAATGTTTGAGCCTAGGTTATGTTTGCTGCAATGTTATATTGAGCAATGGAATATTGGGTGTTTGTTACAAGTGGGTAAAGGTTTGTCTTAGGACTCTAAATTGCTGAAGTTAGCTTTTCAGCCTTGTATTAAAGTTGTAATGTTCAGAAGAGAATACTACGCTATGTAGCTGGAACATTCAGATTTGGTCCTTGGTATTCAAAGGTGTCAAGTTGCAAGCTGATCAGGTTCACACACAGCGATTGGGCAAGAAGTTTGGATGATCGAAAAAGCACTTATAGCAACTGTTTTAGTTTTGGTTCAGCAATGGTGACATTGAGTTCTAAGAAGCAGAAGACTGTACTGTAGCTCTCTTGACTTGTGAAGCAGAGTATACATCAGCATCTGTAGCAGCAAGCCAAGCTATTTAGCTTAGAAAAGTTCCTGCAGATTTCAATTTTGAGCAAAATGAAGCAACAGAGGTGTTCTGTGACAACAAGTCAGCAATAGCAATGACTAAAAATCCTTGCTTTCATGGTAGAACCAAGCACATGGATACCCATCACCACTTCATTCGGCAGCTAGTAAATGTTTGAAAGATCAAGTTGACTTTTTGTGGCACAAATGAGCAAGTTGCAGATATATTTACAAAATCGCTTTCCCCTGCTAAGCATCTTTTTTTCAGATCATTGTTGGGTGTATGTGATTTTGACTCAAGGGGGAGTGTTGAGTAACATGGTCATAATCTGCTCCTATTATTTAGGAATGTTGGTAGCCTAGGATTCTTAAGTAGTTGTTAGCTTGTTGTTATATTAGTGACTTGGTGGTAAGTTATTCTAGCCGTTAGTGGAAGTACATGTCACTAATTTTTAGCAGTTCAGTTTGGAGTTTGTTAATTCATTTCCTATTTAAAGTCTTGTATCTTGCTTTTTGAGATATATGAACAATCAGCTTTCTTTGGTTTTCTCTCTATAATAATTTTGCTTTTTAAACATATCTCTTTGACTTACGTTGTCAGTGACCTTAATTTTAATATAGTGACATTTATTAAAATTTGTGTGAAACTCAGGTCTACAATAATATGTTACATTATATAGCGTGATGCTAATTTATAGTGATATTTATTATTCATATTGGTCAATATATTAAAACTTTCAAACATATACTCCGTAGTTTGTATTATTAATTTATTAGGACCTACTGTTCAAAAAAAAAAAAAAAAATAATATTTCTCTTATGACTCAATGACTTTTATATTAACATAATAATTTTTATTTTAACATAGTGATAATTTTATTAATATAACAACCTTTATATTAAAATAGTAATATTTAATGAAAATTCTAAGTTAGTCATCCTTAAAATGACTACCATTATACTAATTTGTTATTGTCTAATTTTTTTTATTTATTTTATGTCAAAATTAATTATAAATGTTTTTTTTTATTTTTAAAATTTATTATTTTTATATATTTTGGTAATTAGTTTATGAATTATTTGTTAATTTCAGTAATAATAAAAACATGATTTTTGTAAATTAATTAGAAAAATTATTAAAAAAAAAATCAAAATTTTTTCAAAATCAATTAATGAATTTTAAAAATTAGATACATGATTTATAATTAATTTTGACATTAAAAAATCAAAATCAACCAAAAAACACATTAGTGTAATAGTAGTCATTTTAAGGATGACTACCATAGAATCATAACATTTTAACCTAGTTATCTTAATATTAATAGTCTACAGTAAATTAATGGGAACCATTTTTATTTAAAAGTTTGTACGCTCCTAGAATGTACAAAATTTCAAACGATCTCGACAATTAATGGTAGCCAAAATAATAACATAACTAGGTTAGTCCCGTGCGATGCACGATTTTAGCAATAAAATATTTCCTCTATGTGTGCATTATAAATAATTTAAGAAAAAAACATAATAAATAATGATCTCTCTTATTAGATAAATTGAGCTAAAAAAAAAGATGTTAAATATTCTAATTAATTGTAATTAAATAAAATATATGAAATGTTAGCATTGTATCAGTTTAGTATTTTTTTTGTTTAATTATACATAATTTGAAGAATTTATAAAGAGTATAAAATTCAAACTCATAACATCACTGATAAAATGTAGCAGGAAAAAAATATTAAGTATTTAGGAGGAAAGAAGTAAAACGAAAAAGAATTTTGTAGTTAGTAAATTTAGTCATAAAAGCTTTTAGAAAAATTAATCTACCTTTTTCAAAGGTAAGCTTTATCTTGAAATGGAGAAAAAAAAAAAAAAAAAAAAAAAGGATGATGCCATTTATAATTTTGGAGGGAATTTTTTAATAAGAAGGTGACACATGGCAAAGGTGATGTCAGCGATAATTACTTTAATATTAGTTATAGATAAAGATAATTAAAAATAAAAAAATAAAAAAATAAAAAAAAAAATCAATAATTTTCAGGGAGAGATTATAGAAATGTAAATTATCACTACAATTCTTTTTTTTTTTTTTTTTTTTTTGAAAGAAAATCATAAGTACAACTCTATAAAACAGGTTACCGCTTAAGGAAACATTCAATAATAAAAATGATGATGATTATCAAAATAATTTGAGGAAATACAACTCTACAAGATAATGTACAACAAGCTCATGATATGCTATCTTTGACTACGTGATTGCTGTGATTAAGGATCATGATAGTGACGATAATTTAAATATTCTTAGTTTCTTACTTAATTAATGTAAAAATATCCTAGTTTGATTAAAAGCACACCTATAAATGTGATACTTTAAACTTAAATTAAGATATTCAAAAATAGTAAAATATTGTGCTTGTTACTTGTCATCCCCACAACAATAACAATAACAAAATATCATTAATAGTTTCTATCAAACCCCTCTTTCTTCTTTCTGATTTAGTAGAAATTAAAAATAAAAATATTAAAGGAGTTCTTTTAAATCAAAAGGTAAAGAAAGAGGGGGAAAGAAAGTAAATACCATAACCAAAATAATTGTTCATTTTTTTGGTTTGTTTTCGTTTTTCCGCCTAAGCTCCAAATTTTGCTTGCATGGTCATAGTATTCATAATTGTGAATTTGTATTCATAATTGTTCATTTTAATGGTTTTGGTGATAACAAGTTGTTGCAGTACAAATGTGAGTTGTCCTATCCATTGAAAGACAATTAAAATATAATGTTTTGTATCTCCTAAACAATTAACAAGTTAAGTTGTTATTATGGACCCAAATCTTGTGATCAATGGCTCTAATGTGATGTATCATCATAATGAAGTTGTTGAGATATACTGTCAAAGAAATGTTGGAAGTAGTGCCTTCTCTATATTTCATGGCAATCATAAGGAGTTCTCCTTCACCAATGTCCTCTTAGAAATGTCTATGGTTCTTATTATTAGCCATATTTTGCGCGTCCTCTTGAAGCCTCTAAAACAACCTAAAGTCATCTGTGATATTCTTGTAAGTTTATGTTTTTAACTTATTAAAAATTTAAAGTGCTAGGCCTATTTTTTAAGATTGTAACAAATTTATATATGGAAGAGATTTAATTCGTACATCATATATTCTTAAAATGAAATGCAAACGTTAAATAAACAACTTATGGTGAAAATTTCTGCACATAACAATTGAGCAAATGAAAAATCAACAATTGGTTTAAATTTATATAATTCACATTAAAACTTTCTGAATTTGGCCTTCTCAAATATATACATCAATATATTCTTCTCAAATATATACATCAATCGGATTACTTAGTATGCATATTATTTTAAATACTAAGTTTAAAAATTCATCCAAAATATCATTGCTCATTAAAGATATTATTGGTCAAAGTTTATCTAAATTATAATCATTTGACCTTTGAATGTTATTAAAAAAATAAATAAATAAATAAAAAATTTAGTGCTGAACTTTGTGTTTGTGTATATAGGCGGGCATAATTATTGGACCTTCAGTCCTAGGTCGGAGCAAGACCTTTGCAGATAATGTTAGTCCAAAGAGCTCAAACTTTGTAATAGAAAATATAGGAATTCTTGGCTTTGTGTTTTTCTTATTTATGACTGGGGTGAAAATGGACCTTTTTGTGGTTGCCAAAGCCGGAAAGAAGCATTGGGTGATTGCAATTGGAGGGATGTTTATTGCTCATGTAATCATTTTAATATTTGATATTTGTGTGGATCACTACATCGACGATTCAATGGTGCGAAAACCATCTTCTGTTGGAGCTATTTCTTCAACTATGATTATCACAACATTCCCGAGTATTTATAGCATTCTAAAAGAAATGCAAATTTTAAGATCGGAAATTGGGCGTATGGCACTTACAACGGTGATCATAACCGATTTTGTTGGGTTGGTTGATATTGTTTCATTTGAGGCGATGAAGCAATCAGAAGTTAGAATGATTAACGCGATACCTTACATGTTGTCAACATTGTTGCTTTGTGCCTTGGTATTTTATGGAGTACCAATGATAATGCGATGGATTAAAAGGCAAACTCCAAAAGGTAATCCGGTGGATCAAGAATATATAGTTGCTACTTTGTTAGGAGTTTTTGTAGTAGGACTTCTCACAGATTTTTTTGGGGCTACAATTGGGGTTGGCCCTCTTTGGCTTGGGTTAGCCATCCCCGACCGCCCACCAGTAGGGGCAAGCATTATTCAACAAACTGAGGTGGTTGTGAATCACATTCTTATGCCCTTTGCGTATGCTACTGTAGGGCTTAAAACGGACGTGTTTGCAATGGCCGAGTGTTGGTCTTTCACAAGTCCCGTGCTATCGTTGGCCGTTATGTCCATTGTTACAAAGCTTTTTTCAGTGGTTATAATGGCACGATTTGTGAATATGTCATATAGAGACTCTCTTACTTTGGGATTTATACTCGGCCTTCGAGGTCAAACAGAGTTTCTTCTTTATATTCATTGGTGGAGCTTAAAGGTATGATTCTATGATATTTACTACTCCGTACTTAATCATGTTGTTACCTATATATGAATCTCCCTTATGTGCTTTGTGGATTTTATTTTATATGCAGATAGTGACGACGTCGTCTTTCTCATTAATGGTAATTTTAACAATTATAGCAACAAGCATATCAAGTCTTATGATTAATTACCTTTATGATCCAAAAAGGCCATACATGACCAACATGAGAAGGACCGTACAACACACAGCACAAGAGTCTAAACTTCGAATCTTAGCCTGCATTTACGACCAAGAAAGCATGGCTAACATATTTAGCCTCTTGGACTTCACCAATCCAACAACAAGTAACCCATTTAAAGTTTTTGCTATCTATTTTATTGAACTCGTTGGGCGAGCCGCCCCAATGTTCATCGACCATGTGAAGCAAACAAATGAGTATTGGGATCACAACAATGTGGCTGTCCATAAGGCAATCAAGCTCTACGAAAAGGATCGTAATAATCGCATTGCTATGAACTTATTTACTTGTGTCACCCCAAGTCGAACAATGTACCATGACATTTGTGAGAGGGCCTTGATGAACAAGGCTGTATTTATTATTTTACCCTTCCACAAGAAATATATTGAAGTTGGGAATGATTTATTTACTGAAATACTTAGGCCAGGGGTACAATATACTAATGCTAATACTTTATCTCATGCACCATGTTCCGTGGGAGTTTTAGCATGCAAGAAGGCAAGTGCATGGGATATACGTCCAACTCGGACTATTAACAACCAAAACACGCAGCGCCAATTTGTCATGTTGTTCCTTGGTGGATCGGATGCCCGTGAGGCCCTCATGTTGGCTAGCCGCATGGTGGAACATCCGGATGTGTCGTTAATTGTGATTCGATTCTTGGCAAATGAACAGGCGGGAGATATTATACCGGAAAGGAAGATGGATGATGGAGTGGTAACTTGGTTTTGGGTAAAAAATGAGATGAATGACAAAGTAGTTTACAAGGAAGTTGTTGTGAGTAATGGTTTTGAAACAGTTTCGGCTATACGATCGTTGAATGCTAGTGTTTCGAAGATAGATCTTTGGATCGTAGGGAGGAAAAATGGAATAAATCCAACTTTTTTGGATGGGTTATCAGACTGGAGTGAAAATTCAGAATTAGGATTAATTGGTGATTTTTTATTATCGGCTAATTTTAATGTCTTAGGATGTGTATTAGTTGTGCAACAACAAGTGTTAAGAGAACAACATGCTATTCCTTGGGCTTGTTACTAGTTTAGAAGTTGTTTTATATGTTTTTTTATTTAAATATATTATATTTGGATGATACCAAAAACATTTATTATTATTATTATTATTATTATTATTATTATTATTATTATTATTATTATTATTATTATTATTATTAATTTTGTTTTTTTTTTATTTATAAGAAGCCGCGAGGCAATTAGCTATTATTGAAAGATAAGCAATAATGATCAGCTGTTATTACATCAGAGATAGCAGCAGGTGCATTCCCAACCCATACTCGAGTGGAATACTCAATAAATAGGGGTGAGATGATTCATCCCATATTCACATATGTCACTTTATAGGCCTCTTTAAAAACATAAGCTAGTTTCCAAAGTATAAATATCCCTAACGATAACCCCCAGGTACCACTACAAGCAAGAAAACACGCTATTTTCGATGGATCGCTTCCGATAGCCTAGTAAAACCTTTAAAAAATACATAATTTGTAATGGGTTAAAGCCATTGGAAATTTCAGAAGATCCCTGTTAAAGGTGGGATTATTTTGGAATAATTGAAAGGTGGGATCGATTATTTATTTCTAAAAGTTTATACCGATACTTTGGAAAAATATATTATGACAAATTGTAAATTTTACTCGACAACAATAATCTTATATATTAGTTTAGGTATACAGTCAAACAAATCCATGTAAATAAGGCGAAAGTCATAATTATAAAACAAATACTACATTTGTTTCTTTTAGTTGCATAAAGGAATTTTTTATTTCTCACAAATAATACCACTTTGTTGCAACTAATTGCAACAAAAACGAAACAAAGGTAGTAAAAAAAAATCTCAATTAATTACGTACTACAAAGTTCATAGTATTATGTTGACTCTAGTTATTTCTCGTTGCTGAGGCCATGCCATGATTTAACCAAAAAAATAAAATAATAAAATTATAATAATAACAAAAATATAAAATCAGATAATATACTATATACTCCATGTCTTGTAACATGCTTTATCAGAATTATATGTTCTTTTACATATGTACATTTATTCTTTGGGTGTAAATTAATGTTGTGCAGTTGTGCAGTCTAATCTAATTATGTTGTACTATATATATATATATATATATATAGTCTACAAATTGGACCAAATTGATGGATTCCTTGATTATTTGTTCTTGTACGTAAGTACATGAATATAATGCCACCTTTCCTAAACAGTAATATGACACTCTATATGATCTTCTCAATCTATCTTCTCTTTATAATTCCTAAATCAACTTCCCTTCCATCTTATTTGTATAACTTTTGCCCAAACACCACCTTCGCTCCCAACACCAATTACGCAACTAACCTCAACACCCTCCTCCACACTCTCGCCGCCAACGTCGCCTCCAACCCCACCAGCTTCTACATAACATCAGCCGGAAAAGGCACAAGCGATGCCGTCTATGGCCTCTTTCTCTGCCGCGGTGACCAAAACGTCACCGCGTGCAGAGATTGCGTGAAAACCGCAACAACCACCGACTTACCACATACATACTGCCCCAACTCAAAGGTGGCAACTATATGGTATGATGAGTGTATGGTAAGGTACTCCAACGTGTCAATTTTTGGTAAACTTTCTATTGAACCTAAGGTGAGCATGATGAACTCCGAAAAAATAAATGGAAACCAAACCCGGTTTGGAGATTTTATGAAAGAAACAATGGGTGAAACGGCGGTTGAGACCGCTAACAATCGGTCCGGAATTAAATTCACCGCGAAAACGGTGAATTTCACTAGGTCAATTGCACTGTATGCATTACAACAGTGTACACCGGATTTGACTCCCAATGAATGCAGTCAATGCTTGACACGTGCGATTACGCAACTCTCGGTCATGCAAGGTTCAAGGGTGTTACAACCTAGTTGTAATGTTCGGTACGAAATCTATCCATTTTTAAATGGTGCAGTTAATTACTCGGCGTCTTCGGTCTATAATAACTCGGTGCCGCCATTTGTAGAGACGACTGGTGAGTTAATTTATTTCGTTTTCCATAGAGTAATAAGTACTTGTACGTTGTTTTTAATTGTGTAGCATTTGAGTTTTTGACTCCTTTATATCATTAATTTGCTAATGTGAAGTGTCATATATATCAATTAGGTGGAAATTACAACATTTTACTTCTTCACCTTCTTCTTCTCCGGTTTCCATGCTTAACAACTACCCAAAATACAATATTTTCAATAACAACGATTAGCATCTTCTTTAAATACCGATAATCAAGCACTTTAATATGGTAAATTAATATCATGGCAACAATTAAGATAATAATTAACAAAATAGATACCATATCACCAAATATTCAACTCCCATCTTCTTTTTATTTGTTGCTTCTGATGTATGACACGGCGTCAAGGCCGTCAACGACTTGATCTTTGTCATCTTTCCCTTTAGTGCATGGCCGATTGTACAAAGGTATCACAACTTTTTTTTTTTTTTACTCCATGCAAAGTTCTTATTTTGTATTGAGATTTAAGACTTATTATAAAAATAAAATAAGTTATTTTGTCTCTATTTTGTTAAAAAAAAAATATATTATATATGTAAGGGATTTTTTCTTACATTAAGTCTAGAGCTCATATAATATCACGAACGGGGTTGGGCCGGAGAATTTTCCAAAATGTAAGTGTAAAACTTAAGTTAGAGCATATAAAAATTAAAAATAGTCTAAAACTAACTTACTCGGTATTTATAAAACTTAGTTTTCATATTAACATTCCCTCAAGTCATTCTAATTCTTTTTGTTTTATCCGTTTAAAATCTTATTGTGTGAAAAACTGAAAATTCAAATAAAGATCGGAGGTATATTTTTATTTTTTATTTCAAAAGTGGGTAGTCAATTTAACAAATCTCCTTCAAGCGGTTGTGATATTCTCGTAAGACATTGTTTAATAATTTGGGCCTTTGCTGAATTAGAGGGGTTGAGATTTGTTGGACTAGCACGCAGCAGCAATTAATTTTTGATGTGTTGTTGGCAATTAATTTTTAATTGTTGTTGTCAATAAGTATGGTATATATAGACTATATACCTTGCCTCAAAAAAAAAAAATATACTATATACCAGGTCAACACACATTGCTTCTTTGTGCAACCTTATCTCTGGTCAAAATATTGAAACTTATTCATCTCATTTTTGTTAAAGTATATTCTATTGTTCAAGAAAAAGAATTATCCGCCTTATTTCCCACATATCTAATCTAATAATTGACGCAAACAAAATTGTGAGGTTCTTTAGGTATGAAAAGCATATTTGATTGGGAGAAGAAATATGAGCTAACACACACTAAGATAAATAAATATTTTAATTGCTAACCTTAATTATCTACATAAATCTGAACTTGTTATAAATCATTGTATTATGCTTACTACACTATGTACATAAGCTCATGGATGATTCCATGGTAGTCATCCTTAAAATGATTACCATTATACTAATTTTTTATTAGCTGATTATGATTTAATTTTTAATGTCAATATTAATTGTAATTCATTTATCTAATTTTAAAAATTCATTTATTAATTTTCAAATAAGTTTTGAAATTTTTTTTATAATTTTCCTAATTAACTTACAAAATTCAATTTTTTTTTATTATTACTGAAATTAAAATATAAATCATAAGCTAATTGAGAAAATATTAAAAAATAAGAAGAAATAAATTTTAAAAATAAGAAGAAAAAAATTATTTATAATTAATTTTAACATAAGACAAATTAAAACAAAAATCAGACAATAAAATATTAATACAATTGTAGTCATAAACACATCATTGAAACTAAAAGAGAATAGGGCCTCCTGGCGTTTGCTTTAACCTAGATGAATACGAAGTCTTGGCATAATGGCCTGGCTAGCTAATATTACCCATATCCTTATAGGTAGTAATTTTTTTTGCTTCTAGAAATTGTTGCATATATATAGTTTATCTAATATTCTCCGATCCAAAATTAAATGTCATAAATCCATTGATGTTTAGATGAAAATAAATATTTATACTAATCTATTAAAAGGTGTTCCTAAGAACGTTGATGTGCCACATAGGCCCAACAACAATGACTATTTAACCATCCAAGCCAATTATCAGCCACATTATCAATATGTAAAAAAAAATTATATAAGTGAAAAGCACAATGTTCAATTTGTTTTTAATTTGTTTTTTTAAAAAAAAATTAAAAAAATACTACCTCTACTTCATATTATTTGCAGCGATTTGACATAAAATATGAGTAGGAAATGTTTAATCGTTGCAAATAATATGTAACAGAAGTAGTAAGATACTCAAAGAATAAACTCAATATGTATTCAATATAACTATTACCTCATATTTCCTGGGAACGAAAGGCCTATAAAATTTAGCTATATACGTATAATACATGAAAATTATAATACAATAATATATAATGTATGACCCAGGGTATCGTTCGGGCTAAACACTAGTTTTAAATTATAAAAAGCTGTAGTTACTCGTACTGTAATATATTTAAGGTCCAACTTTAGAATAAACAAAGATAATAAATGAAAGTAATATTGAATAATTTATTATGGGAAACGATCGTAATTATTTATCAAACATGAGTCCATCATCAAGAGATTCTACTAGTATATGTTTTCAAGTACGTGAGCTACGTCTCGTAGTCTAGTGTCTAACTGTAAAAGTCAAGTCAAGAGCAACGTTGACTGGATGATGCCCATTAAAAGTCCATGATGGGCCCCACTTCGTTGATCCCAAGTCGCAAAGCAAACATTATATACTTTGTGTTAATCATTTATACGTGGACCAACAATAGCACAAATATGTCTTCGTGTCATCGTATTGTCTTGTCGCCAATTATTTATTTTATTTTTATATTTTGTACTTGCTAAATAATTGTGATAGATTTTTCAAATGTATAATATTCCAATTGATACTTATTTTATACTAAAATATTTGGTACCAACTGGAATTTAGTAATTTGTATTTATTTTTGATACCAATGAACTTTTATTGTATTTGCTACTTCCTCTATTCTTTTTTATTTAACTCGATTTGACTTTTACACTATTTACCATCTCTCCTTTGACCGTCTTTTGTGAATAATGTAAGAAAATATTAATTTAGATGAACTACTACGAGAGGGGGTGAATTGTAGTAGGTTCCAGTTAGGTCAATCTTTTGCGAAATATAAAACAAAACTTAAAAGGAACTTAAAACACACAACAAGTTTTACGAGGAAACCTTCCAGGGCCTAAATGGAAGTAAAACTTCGACCCTTGTCGGGATTTGCAAACCAAAACTTCACTATAATAGGGCAACTCCTAGTTACAATCAACCTATTACTCACGGACTATAGCTTTCTCACAAGTTCCTACCCGACAACTTAATTGCTACACTCTCAAGCCACTACCCGTAAGCTTGCTACCTCACAAGTTCCTAACCGGAATCCTGCTACACTCACAAGTTCCTATCCCACAAGTTCCTACCCGAACACTTGCTACCTGATAGCACCCTATCCTACCCAACCTAATTAAGCACCACACTTAGGTTCACTCAGCACTCCCAGAGCACCTACACTCTGCTTCTCACTAGAAGCTCACTCATTGTGCACTCACAGCTTACAAACGAATTATAGAGAATTCACACTCACCCCAAAACCAATTACAACACAAAGACTCACTCTAAACTATAATTGGAAAGCTACACACGAAACCCAAAATCAAAATGATGATAAAGCTTAAACCTTTGGCAAACTTACTCTTAATCACTTAGTGGTTTTCACACTAAAACTCTCACCTTACTTTGAAGAACTTCTTCCATATATATATAGAAGACATCAGCTTGCAAAGTAGGGTTTTGATAAAGTGATAAGTTAAAGATAAATCAGAATTTCAAACTTATCATATTAAAACAGAAATCAAGTAAATTTAATTTCGTTTTTAAGAAAACCTTTCCTTAGTCAAATTTGTTTTTATAAAAGATAGAGTTTTATATGAATAGATAAAACCAAGTAAAACATCCTTTAAAAGATAAAATCAATTAAATTATTTTTCATAAACTCAAGATAATCTTTTACGAATTAATTATCTTGCCAAGTTTTATCTTATTTCTAATAAGTCTCATGCATATCAATCAATTATATATTTACATCAATCCTAAATAACAAACTTATCTTTAATACAACCTAAGTTATGAAGTTCATCTTGCAATTGATATCTCGAGCTTTGTATTGGTTCTTGATTTATGAAGTCACGTTCCAGCGCAGACCAAGTCATTACAACCTGCTATCATACATCTCCAGCATTACACTGGAACTCGTAGACCAAGTCCTGTTGCAACTTACTATCACGCTTCTGTTAGGAAGCTCTTGATATGTTCCTGTTAGGGAACACCTTGTATTTCCATCCAGCTTTGTTCAAAGAACTTCTTTCTAAAACTCTTCCTCTAATCTTACTTGCCATCTTTAATCTTCTTAATTTCCTTCGTTCCAGAACTCACTTCAACTCCTAGAGTTTACTCATTCTACAAACATCAAAACACTAGAAAAATCTTGATAGAAGTTTGCTCAATCATCCACATCATCATCAAAACCTCTTAAGGGTCAACAGAAAAACATATACATGTGGGTTTTTTATGAATTCGTCTCAATAACTAATATCATAATATATAACTTTTATATATTTTACTTATGGAGAATTAAAGTTATTGATCGTGAAAGTTTTGCATTGACAAGCTTGATAAAAGAAATAGGTCAAGTAAAAAAGAACAGAAGAAGTATTTAATACCAAAATATTTGATTTGGTACTGATTTTTAAATCAATACCAAATTGGCCATTGCAACCTATTTATTAGTTATATATAACGTCTCACATTAATTTATTTTAAGGTGTTTATTAAAAATTAGCACTTCTTATCGAAAAGTTTAAGACACTACTCTGATCCTAACATTGAACGACTTACATAACTACGCTACAAGTGTGTAATTTAACATTAGAAGTACATTATGTTTGCAAATTTCAAGCACAAAAACTTACATCAATTTATTTTAAGGTATTTAAAAATTAGCACTTGTTATCAAAAAGTTTAAGACACTACTCTGATCCTAACATTGATCAAGTTACATAAATACGCTACAAATGTATAATTTAACACTAGAAGTACATTATGTTTTAAAATTTCAAGCACAAAAGCTTTTGGTTAAATTGGTTCTTTGATAATTCTAATAGTGGAATTAAATTTGATGCAGGAAAAAAGAAGAAACTATCAAACAAGATGATCATAATTATTGTTATTGCTATAGTAGTTGCAATACCATTGAAAGTACTTGCGATAACCTTCTGTTTCATGAAAAAGAGAGCTAAGAATTATCATCATTCCATACCCATCGGATGTAGTAAGAAGATGATACAAGTTTATGTTTGAGTTTATTATTATCCCTTAATACATAGTCTACACTACTTAATGTTGTAATTATTGTATTTCATGTTTTTTTTTTAAAGGTGAAGATTTTACAATAGCTGATTCCTTACAGTATGGTCTTGATACACTTCAATCTGCAACAAACAATTTTTCTGATGAGAATAAACTAGGTGAAGGTGGATTTGGGGGAGTCTATAAGGTAATTATATTTTTTGATTCAACGTTACATACTCTCTTTGTTCCCAAATAAAAGTTACGTTAAACTTTTGTATTTGTCTGAAGGCAAATGCTTACAAACAAAAAATAATACATGTAGTGTTTAGTTGATTAAAAATGAAAAAGAAAAAGAAAAAGAAAAAAAATGGAGTTTGATTGATAAAAAATGATTAAAAAGTTAAGAAATATAGTGGAATTTGATTGATTAAAAAAAATAGTTAACAAAAATTTAATTAAGTGTCAAACTTATGTAAATTGGAGATTTTATTTGGAAACTTTATTTAATTTTTTTTTTTTTTGACATCAAGGAAACTATAATTTAGAATCATTTTATTTATTTATTTTTTTGTTGCATAAAGCATGCAAAACTTCTATGTATATCATGCAAAACTGTCATTCTTAATAATCACAATCACGTACTTTAAACGTTTATTCCAGGGAATATTGTCAAATGGACAAGAAATAGCAGTGAAGAGGTTATCTAAAAGTTCTGATCAAGGTGTAGAAGAATTCAAGAGTGAGGTTTTGTTGGCGGCAAAGCTTCAACATAGAAATTTGGTGAGGTTATTTGGATTTTGTTTAGCAGGAGAGGAAAAGTTGCTTGTTTATGAATACATCCCCAACAAGAGTCTTGACCATTTCCTTTTTGGTACTAATAGTCAATATCAATAGCTAAGAATTCATGAAAATAAATCAATTTTTATGTTACAACGATCGATTCTATTAGACTAATTATATAAGTGTAATATGTCCTGTAATCTACAGATCCTGAGAAACGAGAACAACTAGATTGGGGAAAAAGATACAAAATTATAAGAGGGGTAGCTCGAGGGATGCTTTATCTCCATCAGGATTCTCGACTTAGAATCATACATCGCGACCTTAAGGTGAGTAATGTATTGTTGGACAAAGATTTGAACCCAAAAGTTTCAGATTTTGGCATGGCAAGGATATTTGGTGTGGATCAATCCCAAGGGAATACAAGTCGAGTTGTGGGAACCTAGTAAGTATAGATTTAGTTTTTATTTCATCTTGGAAAACATTAATTTATCAAATAAATATATATATTACAAAAATACACCTTTTTTATATCAGAACATATGAATACAATACACCTTTTTTTGTGTGCAGTGGTTATATGTCACCCGAGTATGCAATGCATGGACAATTTTCTGTTAAGTCTGATGTGTATAGTTTTGGCGTGCTAGTCTTAGAGATTGTTAGTGGCAAAAGGAACAGTAGCTTCTACCAATCAGGCTATGCCGAGGACCTTCTAAGCTATGTAAGAGCCATACTTTCTTTTTCTTCTTCGCCTACAACTATTAAGTGAAATGAATAAGTAAACAACCAAATGAATTATTGATTATGTAGGCATGGAAGAAATGGAGAGATGGGACGCCATTGGAGTTTGTGGATGAAACCGTAAGGAACTCGTGCTCAATACACGAAGTCATGAGATGCATGCATCTTGGCTTGTTATGCGTTCAAGAGTGTACTGATGATAGACCTACAATGGCAACATCGGTGCTCATGTTAGACAGTCACTCAATTACTCTTCCAATGCCAAAACAACCGGCTTTCTTTATCAAAAGCTATATGAAGAGTAAAAATTTAGATGAATTGACGAGCAACTCTACGCCCTGGTCAATGAATGACTTATCGGTGACCGAAGCTGAAGCTAGATAGCTACAATAGGCCATGTGTTTGAATACAAACACTTTGTAATGTTCAAGATGCTTTCTAGGATTTCTTATCAAGTTTTCTAGTATCTAGATTTCATTATTAGGTCGTAATTAAACCAGTGTTCATGGAGCAAACAATATGATTATTCCAAAAAAACAAGTCAACGATCAAGAATTAGAGCTTCCTAATCATCGCTGACTTGCTTTAGTACCAGTGTTGTATGTATTATTGTGTACTTTTATAACTAATGTGTTGCTTCTTATTTTAAATCACCACTGCATTGCGCCTTTTTTTTTTTTTTTTTTTTGAAGACACCACTGTATTGCTCTAAACAAATAAATCTTTGTTTGTCGGAACCCACATATACCTTGGTGTTATGATATATGATAAAGTTTTGAGGATTTGATATGATTTGGTTAGGATACTTAGTTGGCAAAGATAAGATATATGCTAAGTAGATAATATTCTTTAGATTTCTTGCCATAATTATCTTGTATTCTGATTATATATTGAGGCCAAGAGCCATGAATGAAGGTAAGCAAATATTACCGATTATTATTTCTCATGGTATCAAGAGCCAATTTTTTTTTAAAAACCATAATCTTTAGCCATGGCTGGTGATAAACCGCCACCGCCACCACCTCCACCATAAACGAAAATTGAACCTAACTTCCCGTTTTACCTAGGTTCGCAAGATCGTCCCGGTGATTTTATAACCCCGACTCGCCTTAAGGGTGATAACTATGATGATTGGGCTGCTGATATTCGAATGGCATTGGAAGCTTGTCGGAATTTGATTTTTTTGGATGGTACGATACGTGGTCCAGTTCCTCCTTGTACTCCGTCTGATTGGAACACTATTAATGCAATGTTAGTATCTTGGATAACTAATACAATTGATCCGGAAGTTAAAACCACCCTGACTAAATATAGAGATGCCAAGAAGCTCTGGGATCATCTTTAACAACGCTTCACGTTGGTTAATGGTCCGAGAATTCACCAATTAAAATCCTCCATTGCAAGGTGTGCACAGACAAAGACCATGTCTATCTCCACATATTACTGTCGGCTGAATGCTCTGTGGGAAGAACTATATCGCCATGAACCCATTATTACTAGTTCGTGTTGTTCGAATTGTGATGTGGGTGAACTTCATGTTCAGAGACGAGAAACGGCTGAACTCCACGAATTCCTCATGGGGTTATACTCTGAGTATTATGCTCAATTGCGTGCTAACATTCATTCTCAAGATCCTCTACCTTCCATTGATAAAGCATACCAATTAGTAATTCAGGATGAGCGAGTTTGGCTCGCCAAAGCCATCCCCGATGAGAAGTCCTTGGAAGCACTGGGTTTCGCTCTCAAAGCCACCACGGGCACTGGCCGTGGCAGAAGAAGAGGGAGTGATAGCTCGGTGGGCTCCAAGTGCTAGAAACCCGGTCACGATGCCTCCAATTGTTGGAGCAAACCGGTGTGCTCACATTGCAAGAAGCGTGGTCACGATGTTAGTGGCTTCTATGAGATTCATGGGTATCTAGAAGGCTGGTTTGAACAGCCCAAACCTGGCGGTGCAGGTCGTGGCAGGGGGAGTGCGTATGGTAGAGGTTGTGGTTCAGTGCGAACCAATGCCGCAAGTAGCAGCAGCAGTGGTACTTCAAGCAGCAGTAGCAGTGCCTTGGAGTCGAACTCCTGTAATTCTATTTTTACTCCTGACCAGTGGACAGTAACACAAAGGTTCCTGACAATCATTTGAATGGTATTATTTTACACTTCTTGTGTTAGAATACCACAACAAAATGGCAGAGTTGAGCGAAAACACAAACATATTTTAAATGTAGCCCGTGCCATACGATTTCAAGCTCATTTACCAATTTATTTTTGGGGAGAATGTGTTCTCACCGCTGCCCATTTAATTAATCGAACCCCAACTCCTCTGTTACAGAACAAAACACCCTTTGAAATTCTATTTGGCTTTCCTCCATCTTATAATCTCATTTGTACTTTTGGTTGCCTATGTTTTGCTCACAATCAAAAAAAGAAGGGGGATAAGTTTGAGAGTTGTAGTAGAAAGTGTGTTTTCTTAGGGTATCCATTTGGTAAGAAAGGGTGGTCCTTCTATGATCTTGAGAAGCGGGAATTTTTTGTGTCACGCAATGTGAAATTCTTTGAGAATGTTTTCCCCTTTATGGATGCAAATATGGTGAATATCGAGCCAGAAAGGGTTGTTCCATTGTATGATGATGTTGTGATAGACGACGATTTTTTTGATAATGCTAGCCCGGGGGATACGACACCTCATGGCTCCCCATCAGTTGCTGACTGCCTGGCGGATCAGTAGGGCAATACCACTGCCTAGCCCACTGGCCGACCAGCTTCTGAGCAGCAGCACCAGCCGAGACAGCAGGGCCTGCCACAGAATCAGTCTGCAAAATCGGGGCAGCAGGGCCAACTAGAGCAGCAAGGGCAGTCACAACAGCTCACTCAGCCCCCTGCACTCGCACAGTACCGACCCTCCAGGCAGCGAGCAGTCAGCGGATCCGGCTGAGTAATTAGGAAGGGGTTTGCGTGTTAAAACTCCGTTAGTTCTTTTATGAGATTATATGACTCATACTGTTCTTGCCAATAGTCCATCTTCGCCTACACCGCATCCGCAGCAAAAGTCAGGTACCCCGTATCCTATGGCGCACTACATTAATTATGATAATTTTTCTGTCAATTACTGTCATTTTTTGGCACCAATTATTTCAAGTAATGATTCGAAATCTTTAAAGGAAGCAATGAGGCATGAAGGTTGGCAAAAATCAATGCAAGAAGAGATCCGAGCCTTAGAAGATAATAGGACTTGGACATTGGAGGAGTTGCCCCTCGGAAAACGTGCCCTTGGTAGCCAATGGGTCTATAAGACCAAATATTTATCCAACGGTGCTGTTGAACGATTAAAGTCAAGATTGTTAATTTTTGGCAATCATCAAACCGAAGGCATTGACTACAATGAGACTTTCGCTCCGGTAGCAAAGATGACAACTATCCGAGCTTTCTTAGAAATAGCTGCCTGCAAGAATTGGATACTACATCAGATGGATGTGCATAACGCATTTTTACATGGAGACCTTGACGAAGAGGTGTACATGAAATTGCCCCCCCCAGGTTCGAGAGTAAAAATCCGAAATTGGTGTGCCGATTACATAAGCCATTGTATGGTTTGAAGCAAGCTCCACGTTGTTGGATTGCCAAGCTTGTTATAGCTCTAAAAGGGTACGGGTTTCTTCAATCCTACTCTGATTATTCACTATTTACATTCACTAAAGGGCAGATTCAAATAAATGTGTTAGTTTATGTTGATGATTTGATTATATCTGGGAATGATTCTGCTGCAATATTGGCTTTTAAGGCCTATTTGGGAGATTGTTTTAAAATGAAAGATCTAGGGCCCTTGAAATATTTTCTTGGCATTGAGGTTGCATGGAGTGCGACGAGTTTATTTCTGTGTCAGCGTAAATATACGCTACACATAATTTCTGAGGCAGGCTTGACAGGTGAAAAGCCTAGTGATTTTCCGATACAGCAGCATCATAGATTGGGTCACGCAACGGGTGAATATCTTGCGGACCCAGAGCCTTACCGTCGACTTATTGGCCGATTGGTATACTTTGCTGTGACACGGCCAGATCTTACCTATTCCGTGCACATTCTATCTCAGTTCATGCAGAGTCCACGTACAGAGCATTGGGAGGCAGCCTTGCGTACGTGTGGTACGATACTTGAAGGGTACACCCGGGCAAGGGATTTTGCTTCAAGCAGACAGTGACTTATCACTTCAGGGGTGGTGTGATTCGGATTGGGCTGCTTGTCCCCTCACTAGCGCGATCATTGACGAGTTGGCTAGTGTTCTCAAGCCAATCCCCTATTTCTTGGAAGACAAAGAAGCAGCCTACAGTTTCTACGTCATCGTCAGAGGTTGAGTATCGGTCTATGGAAGCTGTAACTTGTGAATTGAAGTTGTTAAAGGGTTTATTATCGAGCTTGGGAGTACAGCATCCCACAGCCATACCATTGTTTTGTGATAGTCAGTCGACTTTACATATTGCTAAAATCCGGTTTTCGACGAAAGAACCAACACACATCGAGGTAGACTGTCATTTTGTGCGCGATGCTATTACAGATGGTACTATCGCTCCTTCATATGTTCCTACAAATTTCCAGCTGGCAAATATTATTACGAAGGCTCTTGGCAAGCGACAGTTTGATTTTCTTTTGTCCAAGTTGGGTTTTTGATCCCCATCATGCTCCAACTTGAGGGGGGGTGTTATGATATATGATAAAGTTTTGAGGATTTGATATGATTTGGTTAGGATACTTAGTTGGCAAAGATAAGATATATGTTAAGTAGATAATATTCTTTAGATTTTTTGCCATAATTATCTTGTATTCTGATTATATATTGAGGCCAAGAGCCATGAATGAAGGTAAGCAAATAAAACCGATTATTATGTCTCACTTGGCCAATTTAGCTGTTTCAAGCACCGATTGATCCATATTTTCGCTCTTAGCTAGTTTCTAATACGTAAGAGCGATTTTAATTTCTCTCAAATTCATATATTGTTTTTATTGATACGTGCTCACAAACCCAAATCTACACTTGATTTGCACATTTACAGCTACATAAGCAAAAGTGTACATCATAATCCAACGCCAATACGTTTGGGCCGTGGCGCCTTGAATACGTATACTAAAATATCTCGGTGGTAAGTACAGTTAATTATACCAATACTATTCGCCTATAGGTGAAGCAAGGTGAGATATTTGGAAAAATTGACTAAAAGAATGAGACATCATCATATAAAATTGTGGAAATTTCAAAGCATTGAAAGCAAAACAACCAAAGAAATCAAAGGACCCACCCCTACGGCAAAGGGCAACTTTCTTCATCAATGCCTAATTTTGCCATTTTACTACTTGAGCCATTTACATTGTACCAAGTATTTCTTTATTATTATCAGTTTATCACACATTCATATTTCATATCCTCCTTTCTCTACCTACTCCTTCCCTGTTCAAGACTATACTTTCTTCATCAAAATTATTATACGGAGTAGTTATTATTCTGTAATAATACTATGAATCTAGCAACAAATTCCAAATTAAAAATAATAATTACCCTCTTACTTCACTTAATTTCGAAATCAACTTCCAGTCCAACTTATCTCTATAATTTTTGCTCAAACACCACTATATTTGCAACAAATAGTAAGTACCACACCAACCTAAACAAACTCTTCAAATCCCTCTCCTCCAACGCCACCACCAACCCCGCCGGGTTCGACATCACATCCGCCGGCACCAACACAAGCGACACCGTCTACGGCCTTTTCCTCTGCCGCGGTGATCAAAACATCACCGCGTGCAGCGATTGTGTCAAGACCGCAACCACAACAGACCTACCAAAGTCATACTGTCCCAACAGAAAAGTCGCGGTTATATGGTACGACGAGTGTATGCTACGATACTCTAACGAATCGCTCCTTGGAAAAATGGAGCAATCACCTAAAGTGTTCTTAACCAACACTCAAAATATGACCGGAGATCAAACCGCGTTTTCTGATCTTTTAGGAAACACAATGAATAGTTTAGCAGCTGAGACTTCGAATAGTAAGTCGGGTAAAAAATATGCAACAAAAGTGGCGAAATTTACCAGCTTGAAGACGCTCTATGCAATGGAGCAGTGTACTCCTGACTTGAGTGCCTCAGATTGTAATCAATGCTTGACGATTGCGATCGGGTCGCTCGACGTTAAGATGGGTGCCCGTGTAATGCAGCCTAGTTGTTTTGTACGCTACGAGACTTATCCATTCTATAATGGTGCCACTAATTTCTCGGGCACGCCACCGTTGTCATCGCCGTCGCCGTCGCCGGATACTAAACCTGTTGTTAATAATGGGAATGGTACGTCATTTTACTTCTCTACTTCTTTAGATTCTTATTTCTTGACCTTTGTTAGCTTTTGGCCTTGGTTTATTGAGTTACCAAAAATATATATCACTTTAAAGTGTTTAAACTACTTTGTAATTTACTTTGGAGATAGAGTTGTTAATTTTTAACATTTCATTCATTCCTTTATGTTGCATATGAACATGTTCAATTAATCTTAATAAAAGTTATTGATTTGAATTATTTATTTTTATCTATGATGATTAATTAGAGGAAACCCATATTTTAGATTTTTAGTTATTTTGTGGTTTATAGACTTTGTGTACACATGATCACGATGGCATGGTGTATATCATGATTTTTCCTTTATTTTTTAAGTTTTTATATCCATTTCACATAGATTCATACAATCAATCAGTCATACATCCTATTTGCAATTTATGTACATGATGCAAGCATTATTATTATTATTATTATTATTATTATTATTATTATTATTATTATTATTATTATTATTACAATTGATTTTCTCATTTGTAATTTTGACATTATTCATAAGGTGAGAGAATCTTTTAAATTTCTCTTAATATATAAGACATAACATAGTCATGTTGGGTGTTATTTAATTCATCTCAATAAATAGATTATTAATATTCAATTATTATATTTTTCACAAATAACTAACGATATTTATGATTAAAGTGTTGTATTGACAAACGTGCACAATCCAAATGAGAGGATCAAATGGGGATGGAGGGATTATTATTATTATTATTGTTGTTGTTGTCGTCGTCGTCGTTGAGTAGATACAAATGTCCAAAATATTCCAAATTTTTTTTTTAAATATCTATTTTCAAATTTTTGGGAGTTTGTTGTGAAATTTATCAAATTTTACTTAGATTTCCACGAACGGACTCTTATCAAAATTCAATTGAGAATTTGGACTAATGGAGTGTGTATGGGTGAGGGTGGGACCACTTAGGAGAGTTACGTATGTGAAAGGGCATTCAATTATAGACGGGTGGGTAGTTGGCATCATTTATTTGACTTTTAGTCAAATCCATCACTTATTTTGTGGCCTCTTCGTGCATTAGCCACCAACAGTTGACCTCAGGTCAAAAAGTAACACAAATAACTTAAACCTTCACAATTTTATTTATTTATTATTTTTATATTTTTGAAAGAAACTTATTTTTGTAGTTTTGTAAGTGAATATAAACAAATCTCAACTTTAGGACAAATTATTAAATAAAAAAAGGACTATCGGGGTAGGGGGGAGACTAGTAAACAAATGGCTAAACAATAAATCTTATCGTAAATTGAAATCCATTCAAAAAATATCCAATCAAAGTAGAAATTGCATGATGAGAACCAATCAGCACATTAGAAGTGCTTGTTCCTATCTTCATTGAACTGTGAATCAAAGAATGAAGGTCCTACAAAAGACGTCGACAGCAAGAAATATTGGCCACAGATTATTTGTCAATTTCACTATCGAATCATCAAATGTTATAATTATAAATGCATTAAGCTCATTCGAATTATTCTAACATTAACAAATCAAAAATGAAACAAAACCTCTCGTGAAATATGCTTAAATCATACCTTAAATTACTAGTAATTTTTGTTCAATTTGTTATGTCCATGGCTGCCCTAGCCGATTATTATCCAAATTGCACATATAGTCCAAGTTTCGAACCAAATAGTTCTTACCAAACTAAGCTTAACGACCTATTAACCAACTTGATTTCCCATTCTTCGGCAAATGGATACTATAACTCTTCCGTTGGCCAAGGGGACGATCAAATCTACGGCGCTTACCTATGTCGTGGTGACGCTTCGACTACTGAATGTAGGGATTGTGTAGAAGAAGCACATAACTACATTCTCTTAAATTGTTCCTCTAAATATCGGGCTGTTATATGGTTCGAGTATTGTATGCTCCTTTATTCAAACGTGTTGTTTTTTCAAAAGTTGGAATACGATCCTAGGTGGATTATAGGGAACCCTCGAAGCATAAGTCCTAATGAGACTCAGAGATTTTGTCGAGGTACTGACTACTACTGCCGAGAAATTAGTACCGAAAGTTGCAAATAGTACTGCAAAGTTTGGGACTAATGTAGGCAGCAGTACAGGCACCTTGCCGCGGTTGTATATACTGGGGCAGTGCACACCCGACTTGAACGATGTCGATTGTGCAACGTGCTTGAGGATGGCTAATCGCCAGTTTCTACACCAGTACGGTGGAAGAGTTATGCTGCCTAGTTGTATTGTTAGGTTTGAGTTCAACCAGTACGACCAACCCTTTTACAAGAGTGACACCGCTGTAATGTCATTCATACCGGCTTATATTGTTCCCAATACCAACTCAAAGGGTACGAATTTCTTAAGAGTTTATATTTTAGCTGCTTTAAAACAAAATTATATGTCATAATTTAAGACATTATATGTCAAAATTTTAACACTTAATTATATTGATAACGTAATGATTTTGTACAATAAAGATAAATCATCAGAAAATTCGTGTAGTTGTGTTTATAATACGTGCTTAAATTATTTGTACAATATTCTCTAGAAGTACGTCGTATTTATAATACGTGTTGATTAGAGTAGTAAAACGGATCTTACTGTCATGACTTGTTGTAATTAAGCACTTCTTATACTCCGTACATAAGTTAATTACTCGGTCTTACTTGTTTTATCTACGCAGGACATAGAAAATTTTCAGACAAGATTATTGCCGCCATTGTTGCTCCAGTAACTGTTATATCATTGGTAGTACTTGCTTTAGGTATTTGTTTTATTAGAAAGAGTTCCAAGAAATACGGTAGTCTACCTCCACAAATTGGTAAGAACACTATTAACGTATCAATAGCAAAGTTGATCATATTATTTTTGGTGATAATAACACTAAGCTACTCGATTAATTACTATATTGTGGTGCAGAAAATGAAGATTTCACAACTGCTGATTCCCTACAGTATGATCTGAGTTCACTTCAATGTGCAACAGCGAATTTTACCGATGAGAATAAGTTAGGTGAAGGTGGATTCGGTGGTGTATATAAGGTAAAATCATATGTAGATACTAATCATAACTTAGCGAAAACCATGTAATTATGTGGAAAGTTGGCGTGACAATTAAATTGGGATGGAATGAGTATTGATGTAATCGCTATGACCTGTCATACTAATTAATAATCCATTTTTCTTTCAGGGTACTTTGTCAAATGGACAAGAAATAGCAGTGAAAAGGTTATCAAGAGGTTCAGGGCAAGGCGTACAAGAATTTAAGAACGAGGTTTTGTTGGTGGCCAAGCTTCAACATAGAAATTTAGTAAGGTTACTCGGATTTTGCATAGCAGGAGACGAAAAACTGCTTGTTTACGAATATGTACCCAACAAAAGCCTTGACTACTTCCTTTTTGGTATGATATTCCGTAACCTATATATATTCTATACTTCTAACTATTTAGAAGTTAATTAGATTTATTTTTATAAAAATACTTAGATTGATGTTTTTTTTTTTTTTTTTGGCTTGATTCTATATAAATAGATCCTGATAAACAAGCATTATTGGATTGGGAAAGACGCTATAAAATCATACAAGGGGTTGCTCGAGGAATGCTATATCTCCATCGTGATTCTCGGCTTAGAATCATACATCGTGATCTTAAAGCAAGCAATGTGTTATTAGACGTGGATATGGTTCCTAAAATTTCAGACTTTGGCATGGCTAGGATTTTCGGGGTAGACCAAACCCAAGGAAACACAAGTAGAGTTGTTGGAACTTAGTAAGTATAACTCCGAATCATTTTTTATAAGCTAATTATCAAGGATAAGATCATAACTACAAAATTGCAATCAATATACATAAATCTTAACATATACATAATTCTTTATTTATTTATTTATTTATTTTCCTTGCAGTGGCTACATGTCTCCGGAGTATGCAATGCATGGACAATTTTCCGTTAAATCAGATGTATACAGCTTTGGTGTACTAGTATTGGAGATTCTAAGTGGCAAGAGGAATACTAGTTTCTACCAATCAGGGGAGGCGCAGCACCTTTTAGGCTATGTGAGTATTCTAATTACCCCTTTTCTTGGTGTATGTCACTCTAATATATTGTTAATGATATTGGAAGGAGAAATTGATTTTATTGTCGAATTTGTAGGCATGGAAGCAGTGGAATGATGGGGCACCCTTGGAGTTTGTGGATCCAAATATAAGGGATTCGTGCTCGGTAAATGAAGTCATAAGATGCATACACCTTGGCCTGCTATGTGTTCAAGAGTCTGTAGACGATAGGCCTACAATGGCAACAATAGTCCTCATGTTAGATAGTTACTCTGTCACTCTACCGGTACCACAAAACCCAGGTTTCTTTATCAAAGATAGGACAGGATCAAACTTTGGCAACCCGGTTTGGTCGGATCAGTCGACTAGCAAGTCTATGCCTTGGTCTGTGAATGACGTCTCTATCTCTGAAATGGAACCAAGATAGGGGCGTGGATGGATCAAGGAATTGATTTTCCTTAGTTTGTATTACTGTATTGCACAAGGTATTTATACACCCTAACAGAAGAGAGTAGGCCTTATACATTAGCCCATTAGCTAAATACAATATTAAATACAGTATTAGGGTTTAACAAGTTGTAGTACAGTAGTTATCTCCATGAACGTCATGTTAGCGATTAATCATTAATAGGTAGCCTCAATTAAGCATTCGCAGTATACTATTGTTTCCTGTTAAATCATGCATGGTTATTATATATAGTGAAAATGTGAAATATTGAAAGTTTAATTTGCAATATCTTAAAGATTGATATATTGTAATTCTTTTTTATAAAGATCATTTTGAGCAATTTTGATAAATTAGATAGAAAATAGAATTGAATGGCTTGAATTTCTCATTGATCGTAATGTCAAATATATAATAGTTACACCTCCTAACAATAGAATCAAAAGATATGCTAGAATCCTAGGAAATTAACTGAAATACAATAGATAATATTTGCCAAAAGATATCCTCACAAAAATATATTATACGATATCTCATTACCCCCCCCCCAAGTTGGAGTGTGAGGATTGGAAACGCCCAACTTGGAAAGAAGATAATCAAACTGAGATTTGCCGAGAGCCTTGATGAAGATATCCGCGAGCTGTGAGTTGGTTGGAACATGAGAGGGAGAGATCAAGCCTTCAATAATTACATCTCGAACAAAGTGACAATCGACTTCAATGTGCTTCATTTGTTCATGAAAAACCGGGTTCTTAGCTATGTGCAAACCTAACTCACTATTACTATATTATTTAATTTCCTTCAGATGCTAAACACCTAGACTCAACAGTAGATCTTTTAACCATTTAAGTTCACAAGTAATAGCCGCCATGGGCCCGTATTCGGCTTATGCCGATGATGTTGACACTGTGTGCTGCTTTTTAGTTTTCCATGAAATAGGTGACTTGCCAAAAAACACTAGCCACCGAGACAAAGACCTCCGTGTAAGAGGACAGGCGGCCCAATCTGAGTCACACCAACCTTGCAAATTTAAGTCACAATCAGACTCAAAAGAATACCTTGTCCCGAAGTGCCCTTTAAATAGTGCACTACTCTCAATGCCGCTTCCCAATGTTCACTACGGGGTTCTTGCATAAACTAAGATAGTATGTGAATTGAATAGGCTAAGTCAGGTCGTGTTACCGCAAGGTATATCAAACAACCAATCAGCCTTCTATATTGCTCTGGATCCGAAAGTGGCGCACAACTTGCTAGGCTGAGCTTGTGATTTTGTTCCATCGGAAACCCACTTGGCTTTGCATCCAATAAACCTGCTTTAGAGATGATATCCAAAGTATATTTTCTTTGACATAAAAATAAGCCTACAGAGCTACGAGCAACCTCGATGCCCAAAAAATATTTCAAAGGACCAAGGTCCTTCATCTTGAAACAATCACTAAGATAGGCTTTAAAAACAGTAAGTGCAGCGGAATTATTCCCAGAAATAATGAGATCATCAACATATACTAAGACATTTATTTGAATGTTAGTCTTAGAGTATGTAAATAATGAATAATCAGAGTAGGATTGTAGGAAACCATACTGATTCAAAGCCTTGACAAGCTTTGTGAACCAACATATGGGAGCTTGCTTAAACCATATAGCGACTTGCTTAATCTACAAACCAAGTTGGGATCCTTACTTACCAACCCGGGAGGTAGCTTCATGTATACCTCCTCATCATCAAGGTCACCAAGTAAAAATGCATTGTAAACATCCATTTGATGGAGTTCCTAATTTTTCGAAGCTGCTATGGCAAGAACAGTTCTGACTGTAGTCATTTTGGCCACCGGAGCAAACGTCTCATCATAATCAATGCCTGCTCTCTGATGATTACCAAACACAACCAAGCGAGACTTGAGACGCTCAACATTCCCATTAGACAAAAACTTGGTCTTGTAAAACCCATTGGCTCCCAAGAGCCTTCTTTCCCGGGGGAAGATATTCCAAGGTCCATGTGTCATTGTCTTCTAAAGCTCAAATTTCCTCTTTCATGGATTTGCGCCACCCATCATACTTCATAGCTTCATTGAAAGATGTTGGATCCTTGTTTTGAACAATTGCTGCAATAAAATTCTGATAATTCACAGAGAAAGTGTTACAATTTATATAATGTGCTAGAGAATACGGAGTACCTGGACTCTGATTGGAAGAACGAGACGGACTCTTAGCAACAACCGTGTGTGTAACAAAATCCCGAAGTAAAACTGAAGGATGCTCGGAAACCACGACCCATCTCATCATTATTAGGCGAAACATGGCTGGAATTGTGTGACTGTATGGGCTCGAACACAGGTGGTTGTGGCACTGCGAGCTGGTCAGTGTGTTGCGACTGCGCAATAACAGCCTCATCATGCTGCTGTACGGTCTGTCTGGTAGGGACAGGTTGTGGCTAGGCAGTAGCAGCAGCCTCATCATGCTGCTGTGCCGTGAACTGCTATCGTACGGTCTCCGTATCTACTTGTGGTGAAGACACATCATTTCCTTCCCTATTAATTATTTCATGCTCAACTTCAGCATTATAAGCAACCAAATCATCATCACTCACAATAAAATCCGCAAAATCAACATGAACATTATCCCCCGTCTCACAAAGATTCGGATCAACATTAGCATCTTTCAGACTACAAAAAAGGAGCACATCTTCCACAAATTTCACATCACGAGAGACAAAAAATTCCTTTGTTTTAAGATCAAATAGCTTCCACCCCTTTTTACCGAATGGATACCCCATAAAGACACATTTACGACTCCTACTAGCAAACTTATCCCCCCTCGTCTTTGATTGTGTGCGAAACACAAACAACCAAAAGTACGGATAGCACCAAAAGAAGGAGGTATATTGAAGAGAATTTCAAACGGTGTTTTATTTTGAAGAAGAGGAGTAGGAGTTCGGTTAATCAAATGAGCTGCAGCTAAAACACACTCCCCCAAATAATAAATTGGTAGTTGTGCTTGAAATCTCAAGGCTCTCCCAACATTAAGAATGTGTTTGTGTTTTCTCTCTACTCTCCCCTTTTGTTGAGGGGTTCCAACACACGAGGTTTGAAAAAGAATTCAAGTGGCAACAAAGTAATCATGAAAACAATTAAATTCGATTTCATTATCACTTTGCACAATTTTAATTGTTTGATTAAATTGTCTATCAACCATAGCAACAAACGCCATAAACATCTGAAAAATTTCAGTTTTATCAAGCATCAAATAAATTCAAACAACTCGAGAATAATCATCAACAACAGTAAAAAAATAACGAGCCCCACACGATGAAACATGTTGATATGGACCCCATAAATCATAATAAATTTTTACAAAAATTCTAGAAGCTTTATTATCACTTAGAGGAAATTTATCTCTCGGATGTTGAGCACAATAACAAACTTCACATCCTTTTGCTAAATTACTTTTATTATTGCTAATATGAGGAAGCAACTTAACTACTTTTTCCGAAAGATGCCCCATTCGTCTATGCCAAAGATCCAAATCAGATGGCTTTTCGATCACAGACACACGTTGCACCACATCCGGTTTGCTAAGATAATAGAGTCCGTCGCACCTAAGTCCCATTCCAATCAGCTCCTTCATTGGGTCCTGTATGGCACACATAAGTGAGTTAAATTGCACAACAACTCTTAATTGATCACTGAGTTGAGAAACAGAAATTAAATTGCAATTCAATTGACATAAAGAACGCCAAAGATAGTAATTTTATCGGACAAGTAAACTGAGCAGGCCAAAGTTGCGAGTACACTTGCACCATTGGGCAAGCCAACAAGACATTCAATGGCGTAAGTGTCAAAAAGCCAAGATTTATTTCCGGTTACATGGTGAGTAGCTCCGGTATCGATAATCCAACAAGTATCATCAAAGTTACCATTTAGCCGATTTTCTGGAACTCTTGTATTACCCATAAGACCGGCCAAAGCCTCCCTACATGGAGATTGATGGTCGGGTTTTTCTGGTGGCGGCGGTGGTGATGTATCATCGTCGGCCATGGATGTTTATTGAGGAGAAGAAAAATTTAATCTGCTCTTGATACCATGATAAATTAGATAGAAAATAGAATTGAATGGCTTGAATTTCTCATTGATCGTAATGTCAAATATATAATAGTTACACCTCTTAACAATAGAATCAAAAAATATGCTAGAATCCTAGGAAGTTAACTAAAATACAATAGATAATATTTGCCAAAAGATATCCTCACAAAAATATATTATATGATATCTCATTAAATTTTTATTTTTTCCTACCATATTCAAAGTATTATCTATTGACACTTTTACTTAGTCAAACTAATCATATTGGAACAAATTAAAGGAAAATATAATTTATTTACCTATTTTTGATAAATTTATTTGATATTATATTAAAGGATTAATTTAACCAAAAGATTAAGCTTATGATTCAAGTCTATGACCATTATATATGTAGTCATCAAATACGAAGTACAATTGAACAACAAAATAACGACTTTACATGAAAAAGTTAGGTTGTTACAGTATGCGCGTGCTTGTGTTTATCACCACTTCACTAGTTAATGCAAGTATCCCAGAAAGAATTTGGCCATGTTTGGCCATTCTCCATCTTAAAACTTTGATTTCTATTCGATTTCCCACTTAGAAATTAAATTTCTCTTTTTTAATTTTACAATTTGTAATTATTCAAGTCACCTATATATGATATGATTATTTGTTCCACTAAAGAATTATTTTCCAATACCAGCTACCATCTAATAGAAAAGTAAAGTGGTCATGAAGAAAATTCTAAATTTACTGTGAAGATTTCAGTTTTGACGTAAGGACCAAGAATATGAATACGTCTAAACATCCACAACCCAAAATGGTACCATTTAAATGGTCGTCGTTGGCAATTCTTTTATCCACCACGTTATTTATGATTCCGGTATTAAAAGCTAAACCAACGTACTTAGGCAATGGTTGTTTATATAACATCATGTTTGCAAACAATAGCCAGTACCAAACTAACCTCAACACCTTCTTCCAGTACCTAACCTCTAACTCCGTTTCCTCCCTGAACGGCTTTTATCACACCACAGCGGGGAGCACCACGTCCGATACTGTCTACGGCTTATTCCTCTGCCGTGGTGACCAAAATGTCACCTCGTGCAGTGATTGTGTTACTATAGCGACTACTACAGACCTACCAGCATACTGCCCCAGCCAGAAGGTAGCAGTAATATGGTATGACAAATGTATGGTAAGGTACTCCAACGAGCCTATGATCGGAATAACATCTTTAGATCCGGATGGACCGGAGTTGTCAGTATCCAACGACCGGAATTTAACAGGAAATGAAACTCGTTTCGAAGAAATATTAGGAAATACTATGGTAGAAATATTAATCGAAACTGCAAAAGGAGATGGGAAAAATAATGGGACAAAAGCGGTGAAAATTAGTGATTCCGAAACTTTGTACGCGTTGGTGCAGTGCACACCAGATTTAAGTGCTGATTCTTGTTACACTTGTTTATCGATTACCAACTCCAATCTTAAATATCAAACTGATGGTAGTTATATACTGCCTACCTGCAATTCTAGGTATTCAACGTCGCCTTTCTTCAATTACTCAAAGGACGACATCTCTGTCCCCGCCAAAAAAATCTAGCATGAACCCAAGGGGTAAGTCAATATCATCCCATACTCCCTATGTTGTTTTAATATCACCCAAAATGAAGGAGTGAGTCTTATCATGATTCACGGTTAATGTTAGCCAACCTCAAATTATTTTAAAGCTAAGGCTTTGTTTTTGTTGTTGTTGTAGGTAGGAGAGATGACGTTATTTAGAACACAATTTTTTATGTGCCGTGGCTGGCCACACCGTGTGGCTGGAGTTACTCGGTCAGGGGTTACTCGAGGGATTACTCGGGGGGATTACTCGATCAGAGGTTACTTGAGGGGTTACTCGAGGGGTTACTCAGCTAGGGGTTACTCGAGGGGTTACGGTCAGTAGCCCCTGACTGAGTAACTCGAGTAACCCCAACCACACAGAAAAATCCCCATATTTAGAAACATTAGTACTGTATGATGAGTTTATTCCTTCAAAGTTATCAATTTTTAATGTTGAGAGTGAAGTGTAGCTCAAGTGGTTAGAGTTCCCCTCTCAATTCCAGGAAATCTTGAAACCGATTCTCATCACCCACCCTTATAACTTACTAAACACCAAAAAATCAATTTCTTAATGTTTAGTAGTGGCTATTACTTTCAACGATGACTAGCTAAGAATTAGGAATTAGTATTTCAGTGGGTCTTAGGTAGTTATGTTAAGAGGATTAATAGTGGAGAGATTATTTATGCATTTACTTTGACCATGTGATCGTGATAACATCTTCCTATTTTATAGCTTTGGTTGGTTATTTTACGTGCCTATAAAACTAGGTAGTGTGCCTTAAGTTGAGTTGCAGAGATTAATAAGAGTATTATTATTTTTTCATTCTCTCTATATTATTTATGTTTATTAATTTCAATGTTGTGTTATGTGAGCCATATGAAGGGATTAGGATGATACTAGTAAAAGTTAAAAGTTTCTTTACCATAATGGGAATAAATCAAAAGTTCGAAGATAAAAAAGAACACTCCCTCCATGTTTTAATAAACGTTACACTTATTAAATACGGTTGTGTTTTAATAAGTGTTACACTTTCTTTTCGCAAAACGTTACATTTTAATATTATATGTTTCTCCTCTCATTGTCCCCATCCAAACCCACTACTACTTTTTTTTTAAATTATTTATTTCCACTCACATTCATTACATTTCAATAAACTATCAACTCCACTATCTTTGTTTTACATTTTTTTTAATAATCCAACTACCCCACTTACCTCTTATTTTATTTAAGTCAATTAAATTGCCTAAAACTACATGTCGGTCAAAGTGTAACACTTATTAAAACACAGAGGGATTATTAAAACCGAAAGCTAGATGTTAAAGAAACAAAGGGAGTAATAACATTTAATTAATTTATTTTATTTACTAATTTTTATTTATTTATTTATTCATTTTTAAAATAATAATAATAATAATAATAATAATAATAATTATTATTATTATTATTATTATTATTATAATCCACATTATTATTATTATTATAAAAAATTACAAAAACCTTCAAAGTCAACCAAATTATAAGAAATTAGTAGGGAGTCGAGATACAATCTAGGACCCCACCCCTCTAGGTATAGCGAACCCGATCCTACTGAAGATGTGAGCAGCTGCACGAGCACCAATATCTTGAGTCCTAGCAAACGTTTGAACCCACTTCAGCAACGCAACAACATCTTTCTCTAATTCCCCCAATGAAGAAAAGGAGAAAGGAAGAAAACCATAGCCAATAGCTCTGCAATGCGCCTCATACTTGTCCCGCTTCCGCTGAGCAGTAATCGACACCACACGACCAGGGACGAAGTCGGACAACCCAGATTGTGTTAAAGGAGAAGACCCCGTCAAGTAACACACACATCAAGGCCTCTATCCCAAGAATAAAGTAATACATCCGTAGGTCAAAGAGCTCATCGTTCCCTCCAATCAACCCAACGTTAACCTTCTTTCTTACAGAAATTCCAGACCGAAAACAAATATCAACCCAACATTATTATTATTATTATTATTATTATTATTATTATTATTATTATTATTATTATTATTATTATTATTATTATTATTATTATTATTAACAAAAACCTATTAAACAATTTACAAGAAATTAGTGGGGAGTCGAGACACAATCTGGGCCCCTACTCCTCTAGCTATAGCGAACTTGATCCTGCTGAAGATGTGAGCAGCAGCACGAGCACCTATATCTTGAGTCCTTGCGAACGCCTGAAACCTGCTTCAGCAACGCAACATCGTGCTTCTCTAATTCCCCTAATGAAGAAAAGGAGAAAGGAAGAAAACCATAGCCAATAGTCCTGCAACGCGCCCCATACTTGTCTCGCTTCCGCAGAGCCGCAACCGGCACAACACGATCAGAAACGAAGTCAGACAACCCAAATTGCGTCAAAGGAGAAGACCCCATCAAGTCAACACATACATCAAGGCCTCGGGCTAGTTTATTTTCGTGTGAAAATTGATTTGGTGTAGTCTATAAGGTAACTAACAATACAGAGTGATTATAGCAATCAATCCTAAAGAGAAAATACTCTATAGAATCGTGATTTAATACTGAAAAATATCTATCATTTTTTTTTATTCGGGGGACATTAAGAAATGGACAAGAAATAGCTGTGAAGAAGCTGTCTAGTGGATCTAGTCAAGGTTTGCATGAATTCAAGAATGAGGTTTTGTTGCTAGCCAAACTTCAATATAGAAATTTGGTGAGGCTATTGGGATTTTGTTTGGATGGGAAGGAAAACCTGCTAGTATATGGATATGTGCCTAACAAAAGCCTAGACTATTTTCTATTTGGTATGATATGTTGACTTTTTCATCAAGGAAATATTACCTACTGTTTTTTTCAAACAAATTATTTTACTTTGACTTTTACGTTTATTAATGTACAAATTTAATCAATTAATATCCTAATTAATACTAAAGGACAGTTTTGCAATGACTACATTAAAATTGTTATCGCTACAAAAACGAAATCTACACCCTTGATTATCATTACGTAAATTAGGACCATTAATTTAAGTTGACCATAAAAATACCCAAGAAATTCTTTAACTGTTTTTCCATAATATCCTGTACATAATAAACTACTCCCATGATGATTTTCTGCAAATTATGAATAACATAACGATCCACTTAACATAAAATCGATCAATTAGTGCAAGAATGACCACAGAGAGTTATGGACAGCAATAATTAAATTCTTATGAACTGTGTAATTATCCTATCCAATTATTTATAGTTCTTATATCCAAAGTATAAAATTGTATTCCTTTTTTCTAGTTTTGTTGGCAGTTTTCTATTTATTTGTTTGGTTATACATACATTAATCCTATCTATGTTAATTGGTCCTCCATATCAATTTAATGGAGATTTAGGTTGAAGCTAGGTTGAATACTTGGAACTGCATCAATGGCAGCAACAAGCAGTTATTTTTCTGTTTTTTTTTTTTTTTTTTGGTTAAAAATAAAGTAGTAAAAAAAATAAATTATAATTTAGAAGTCAAAAATATAAATGGACAAGATTAATCATTAATATTTAAACGGTTGAGATTGAAAGTAGTTACAATGACTACATTTTTAATATGGCCATTGAAAAGTCTTAATACTAAATACGTTTATGATAATTAATGTGCAGATCCCCAAAGGCAAGGAGAATTAGGTTGGAGAGTACGTTACAAAATTATGGTAAAAGTTGCTCGAGGAATGCTTTATCTCCATCAAGATTCTCCGCTTAGAATCATACACCAAAGCCGCTAACATCTTATTGGACATGGATATGAATCCAAAAATTGCTGACTCATGGCACTACAAATAGGGTTGGTGGTACTTAGCAAGTTAAAAAAAAAATATTTTGATTATATTCTTTAACAACATTACCAAGAGAAGGGGTAACTTTTTTTCAAGTATATATATGTTTGCAGTCTTACCCTAAATGATGTCTTCTATAGTGGTTATATGGCTCCAGAATACGCATTGAAGGGACGATTTTCAATCAAATAAGATGTTTATAGCTTTGGTGTACTGGCTTTAGAAATTATGTACGGAAAGAGAAATACTACTTTCCAACAACTAAGCTACGAGAGGAGGATCTTCTTAGCTATGTAAGAAACTTAATTACTAATTTGTTGATGTATGTAGATGTAAAATAAACAAAAAAAATGACAATTATTCCTAACAAAATTAGAGTATCTAGGCTTGGAAGAAATGGAAAGATGGTGCGCTCATGGAATTAGTGAATCCAAGAATAAGAGATTCAGATCTAGCAACTGAAGTCATAAAATGGATTCCACTAGGTTTGTTATGTGTTAAAAAATCACCATACAAAAGACCTACTATGGCAATTGTAGTTCGTAAGTTGGATAGTCATTCGAAAACTCTTCCGGAGCCTGAACAACCCGGTTTTTTCATCAGAGGTGGACGAGACACTGCATCAAGTCAGTCGACAAGCAACTCCAATACAGGATCTGTCAATGAGGTATCACTGACTGTAGTTGAACCGAGATAGTTCAAGCCTTCAACTCTTCAAGGATGTTTTTTTATAAATTACTGGATATTTATAGTCATTTTATTAAGCCTTTTGGTAATGCAATTACCAAAGCATTGTGAAGTATTTATTTGTCAAAGAATTTCACGGAAATATATCCCAGTAGTGAGAATAAACTGTTGTGTTTTTGAGAGGAAAACAGTGCTAGGCTTAGATTTGACTATTGAGCTAGACTCCGTGAAATTGAAGAGGGTTCATAAATATAATGTCTTGTATCCATTAAAAATTCTTAAATAGACATGGTTCACATTAATTTATTGTGAACCACTATTATTAGGGACACTATGGTCGCTATATTAATTAAAAACAAAGGTCCTTGTGTTAAAATAAAGGTTATTATGTTAATATAGGAGACATTGTGTTAGTATAAAGATCATAAGAGATTAACTTTTTTTTTTTAAATGAACGTTTTTATACTGGTCAATATGAATAATAAAGGTCATTATGTTAAAA